CGCCTTCTCCATTGTTAGGTATTTCTCCGCGTTAAATATTGAATATCTATTTTCTGAGTAGTCTCGTGTTCACAGCTTTGTGGATTGTGTGGCTATTGTCCAATGCCACTACACTACTCTCCCACCAGAATCAACGTGATGTTGGTTCGATACCAAATTGGATGGGATCGTCGCGCGCCGGAGGTTACCAAGGATAATAAGAATCCTCCGGGTATTGGTAAGCTGAAAGATAAATCAAAAAGAAAGCGGCAGCATCTGGTCGGGAAATACATGTAATAATTTTAAAATATCTGCCTTCATGCTTAAAACGCTTGAAATGAAAATTTGGGTGAAGATTATTTGAGCTATAAAAAATGGGGTTATAATAATAATAATAATAAAACGATGCGTGTTAATAGCCGTTGGTTAATAACTTAACGTATAGGTAGTAAGTATTTTGTGTTTAGAAATATTAAAGTGATGAATATTGTAGAAATGTTAATATTGGTATTAGTTTTGGTTTAAATTATGAAATCAAATAACGATTATGCCGGTAAGTTGTCCATATGAGTTGAATTCCAATTGCATCTGTATTAGTAGGCTAACTGAAGGAACAAAAGTATACCGTGGAGAAGAATTCCAACTAGTGTTCCAGTTAGTTTGATACGGTTTATTTAGTTACGGGGAGATTTTCTCAACCTCATTTTTACTTGACCGTGATAGAATTTAGTAATACTACTAATACACATGAATGGTTATCAAAACAAAATTTAAATACATGAGTGATAATTATATGAATTTTGGACAGATAGCTAGGAACAAATCGTTAAACATGAGTGTATTCGTAAGAGACATGCTCTAGACTCAATGTTCTGATCTGTGGCAGACTATTTATTTATATTTATACTTGCCGGCTGATTGGGCATACAAGTTAGTTGCAAGTATGCAGTTTATCATAAGGCGGAATACGATTTAATTGAGATATAGTGGTTATAAGTTATTAAAATCAGTTAGGCCTGTGTCATATTACGAAGTGATGTGGTGCTGCAAGATGTATTTAGCTAAATAAGTTTTTACAAGATGATTAATAGTGAGTGGTACTCATGTGATTATCAGAGAGAACATAAGTTGTAACCAGGGGAGTACACTCCCAACTCATGTCTATGATAATGGCTTGAACCTTAGTCAGTGTTGGGGTAAATTCGACATTGATGTTTTCAGTTTGCAGGAGATTTGCTCGACTGCTTATACTGATTATTTGCATGCATGATTGTGTCGCTAAACCATCAATTAGACTGACAAGGTTTTGAGATATTTACTGAATGAGCAACTGATAGAGAAACATACTGTAATCATCTGTAGTGAATGAAGATAAAAGAAAAACAACACTAGTGATAATTATAAGTCAATTTGTTGACCGATTTCGTTAATAGTTTCATTAATTTTATCAATCATATTACGTGATTGTCAAGTCATGACAATGCTTTATGACGATATCCTGAAACTATTATGTTTAACTAGTTATAGTGTTGAATGAGGATTAGTCAGTGGAAAAATAGGTATTGTTGCTTTAGGTGATTCGAAATCATCAGAAATTTATAACGTTAAAGAATCCGAGACGCCTAATTTAATTATAAATTTCAATTCAGGAAGATTCGTTTAGTGTTAATTCTAGTAGGCTACGGAGTTTTGATTTTAAACGTTTGTTTAGCCAACAGCTACCTAGGGATTTAGTTATTTTACTAGTGCAGTTGATAGTACCTAAATTTTTAATCTTATTATCTAAACTATGTTCGCATTTTAGGCTGCTAATATGATAAACCAATCCATAAACCCAAATACGATTAGCAACAACGACTATGATGGGTTTATTGATAAATGTTAAAGGTGATTCAAATGATTTCTAAATTTAGAAGACATGAAGATATAGTGCAACGCATGTACGGGCCAGGTTAACATGCAGGTTGTTGACGTATATGACAATTTGAAAATAATGAACATGATCAGAAAGATAATTTTAAAGTTAAGACTGCTTATGAAACTTCAGGCAGGAATATGACGCGTTATAAACATTCCGTAAGAAGTTACTGCATTTAGCCTAGGGACACTTACAAATATATGGCAAAAGCAACTAGAAAACATATACATGTTAAGTACAAAAAAATCATCCAGTAAAATAGTTGAACTCGCCTGGGTTATTTTTGAAAATTAGATTCAGTGGACGACATATATAACGCCATTCGTGAGTAGTAATGATCCAAAAGCATCCAGAATAAAACATGCAGTATGGCAATTAATTCCAGGGTGCTTGATGCTGTTGACGTTTTTGGGACTCACTCTGATCAGAACAACTGAATGAATCCAGATAATTGTGTGTGTGCCATTGAATCAGCCATCTAAAATGACCTTATGATTGCAGAAAACTTATGGCTGAAACTCACCGTATGTTTTTAGAGAAGTGTCATCCTTGTTGTTTGGCAATGGAACTCGAAAATTTGAAATTAGGCAGGCAGTGGTCGGAAGAAAAGATATTACAGGATAGTGCATAGTTTAAAACAGGATGAGGTAATAAGATAAGGAACACTGAATATTAGATCCAGGTAACTATTTAGTCCTTGCTGCATTGTTAGTCAATGTATATTTGCGTTATTTACAGGTCATATTTGCTAGAGCTTGATGCTTAAACAAGCCTATGTCGCTGAAGCATGTAAATGCTATTAAAGCTTGTTAACGAACCATCAAAGCTAATTAGTTAATATAGACGACCAGTTTTTATTATCGAATGAGCTAGTAAGTTATGTGAACTAATAGATATAACATTACGATAATATATGTGACCATTAATCAAAGGACTATTAGAATAGTGGGTTTACAAAAATTAAATCCGATTGAGGTTAAGGTGGAAATAAGGATTAACAATAATAGGTTGCGTTTCTTTAGTTGGGCTCACCAATGTAGAACTATGGTCTACTATGATATTAGTACTGCTCTAATAATAGACCTAATCCTAAATTTGTAGATTTGTCATGATATAACTGCCTAATCTATAAGATCTTACGTGGAAGTCACACCATCGACTACACCAACTCACTGTATCGTATCAATTACCAATACATGATGTAGAACAAGGTTAGGCTAGAGAAAGAACAATATATTTAATATGAATAGAAGATATAAAGTAACATTGAGATGGACCACGCCTGCATGGCCGAGCCATGCCATACGATCAACTCCAGTCCATTCAATTCATTGTTCGCGCCTTCTCCATCGTTAGGTATTTCTCCGCGTTAAATATTGAATATCTATTTTCTGAGTAGTCTCGTGTTCACAGCTTTGTGGATTGTGTGGCTATTGTCCAATGCCACTACAATTGTTTCCCAGTCATATATTCGAACCCCTCCACTTCTGACTTCTGATTTGACTGGGTTGGTATACTTCGATTATAGAGGTGTCACGTGTAAAGGCGTTGCGAAACTCCAAATGTCGTTAGCATCTTTGCACTTTTATTAGATTGCAATTATGATAGTGTTTTATACACCCACACTTTTAATCTTTGGCCGCAAAAGTTCAGTACACATTTTATGGCGGACGAGTACAAATAAATGTTTGAGAAAACGTTCGCACGAAATAATGAAAACAGTCAAGAGCTCTAAGACAAATAAGAACAATCATATATTAGGCTGACTTAACTGTTTGTTTATCGCTAGATTCAGTCCAAGATAAAATTCGGGATCTAGTATCTTCATCGCGAGCTCGTATCAGTAGATCGATTACTTTGTAGTAATTTCTTAGTTTTTTGTATGGTTTCAGGCACTTGGCAATGATCATCTAATATTTGACGAATCTACTGCTTAAGATTTGGACTTTTGTATTAGTATTGGGACAGAAAATAGGTACTGAAAACAACAACCATAATCATAGTTATAGAAACCGAGGCAAGATAATACTTGACAACACAGTGTGGTTGATATCATATATATTTGCGAACAGTGGCAAAAATACATATGTTTGGGTAATGATAATCACACAACAAATGCAGCCCCATGCCATAGTCAACAACGAGTGTGAAAAGTTTATAATAAGGCGTCAAAATTAATTAACTCTATACTTTCAAGGCCGCTTGTCTATTTTCCAGGCGTGACCTTGGCTCGATACTGTTCTTCAGCCTTAGAGCTGTTATCTTATTTTTTAAAGGACAGCATATATAAAATTTCTCGATGAATGTCTCATGGAATTATTTTTACCAGTTCGTAACCTGTAGATAATACTTTGTGTGGCCAGTTCGCCCTTTAAGAATATAGTTCGTGGACGGAACAATAAGTTTAATACAAGTCTAGAATTTTGTCGCATATCTCATCGATCTGCATGTTTAAATCTCATTTTGGCACAGCAGCTGATGTCGGTTCGTGATTAAAACGCTTATTTAAATTAGGGTTAGAATTCTAACCCAATTCCTAACTTTTAAACTTAGTCCTCACTCATACTAATTTACAAACTCCTTCTGACTCTAGTAATCATGTAGATTGTCTCAAGGTTACCTTAACGTTAGAGTCTCACTGTTTGCTCAATCGTGTTTCAGCGTGGGGTCTCAATTTTATAACATTTTTAATTGATATATTGTACCGATAGTTATTTTCAAATAAAACTTCACACACATAGTGCACTCTCATTTCTTTTCTGTTTTCGTCTTATGACCGTTTAAATATATCTATATTCCTGATATTTCACGTTAATTGACTTTACGGAAGTATGTTTTTGGTGCATATTTCTTGACAGTCCCTATATCATAGTACTGTCGTTAATTGACAGTCATTTGTTAGTGCTGGGACACTGGTTGAAGAGCTTAAGCTATTCCTTCATTCGACGGCACTTGTCCTTCGGATTTACGCCGTATGATTTTTTTTGACGTAATTCAAAATATTGAAGATGTTTCAAATTATTGGGAAAATATCTACTGATAATATTCTCATCGAGTTGTGCATCAATTGATTTGCAGAAATAGTTCTGCTGATTTGAGGCACATGACAACAGTTGTCTTGAATATAACTCATAAAGCTGGTTTTAACATCTTGCCGAAGTCTGTAGATCTCAACTGTCAGCGTTTTTTTTCAGAGTTAATTATATCGGATAAGGTTACTAAAAGCAATGGTATGGAGTGTTCCGTCAAGTGAACAAATCATAGATCAAAATCGATAATTTTCTATCCTTTCAAGTATTTTAAATTCGTTATCGTTGTATACTAGTTGTTTAGTACATGAAGACTCAAGTTTGGTATGTCATTTCCTAGTCCGTATTTTCTGTACCACACGACTGGGTCTAAATGGTCCGTTGATGCGGACAAACTTTTCATGAATACGAAGATCCTAGATTGAACATAATTGTTATGCATTACGTCGGGTGAATTATATTCCAGGATATATATGCTTGCAATATGTTTAACCTGTTACGAAACTATTGATAACGAGATATTTGGGCGGAAATATTTGTTATGAGGTGTTGACCCGGCTTTTGCTCTTGTTTTGTTACTTCAAAAATGTACAGCCGCTTTTTGTTTTATCTTTTTACAGTTCTCATTCAAAGCGCTAAATTTTTCAGACAAGCATTCGTTATGTGACTTAGACTCCTCTAATAGTTCGAGCATTGGTGCAAATGAGCATATAAGTTCGCATTTACCTGAAAAAGTTGGTCACACTATTTTTTCCGATGATTATCAATCAGCAACTCCTAAATCTACAATTATTCCAAGCGTTTGTAAATCTTCGGACCTGGGGGAAATATCACCGAACGTCACTAACCTTTTAAAACCCACTAAGACACGAGAATCCGAAGAGGTAATTAGAACTGACCATTATTTTTTATAATTATGAAATAATAGTCATCCGTTTAAAAATTTGTTTCATATTCAGGAATGTGTATTTAAGTGCGACACTTCAGTTTACTGTATGTTGGATTCGAGGACAGTCTTATTAGTTTTATCTTAGTCAGGTTCTGTGCAGTAGGCTAGATTGTAATGTGATAATGCTTTAGGTTTTGTATTCACAACTGATTTTGTCCTTATATTTGCATTTTTAACTGTCCAGGTCAGAGTGATCAAACTGTATCATATTGCTTTACGCCTTTGCTCATCTGATTGTCCTGATGATGAATGCAAGGCCAGACCTGTCCTGGAAAGCATTCTAAACAGTTTTGTCATTGAAAACAATGTGAGTTTTTTCAGTTTTTGTAAAATCTCGTACCATCCTGTTTCGATTGGTTTTTCATACTTATGATCTTTTAGCATCCGCACAAACATGCTTATAATAGGTGGATAGATAGCTCCTCTCGAAATGCTCTCACATGGCTACGCGTATATAGCCTCTGCCAGGGAAGTCTTGCTCACTGACTTCTCGTGGTGGGGGTGTTGTTTACGAAATTGAGAGGACGAAAAGAGAATGTCCGGTGCTTTAACCGGGTTATTGGACATGGAGAGTCCACCTAGGAGAGTTGGAAAACACAAATTCCAAACCAATGGTGCACATGGGCTTTGGTATCCTGATGGAACACATGGCGTATGTACCATTTATTGGTCACCAGCTACCATAGGACTGTATCTCCTGACGTTGCTCCACTGCCTTGTGGATCAGACCTTTAGGTCGAAGGCTTCGGGTGTGGCCTTCTAAGAAAACCACCTGCTTCGGTTTGGGCACCCGGGTAGTATTATAGCCTACATACAAATCAAGTAACCTGTGTAGTGCATATGTATCTGATTCCCTCTTGTAACAGTATCTATGTGTTCAAATAAATAAATAAATAAACATTTTTGAGTAGATATCTTTTTATGTCAAACTATTGATGTATATTGTGTTTCTATTTTTTTAGGCAAAAGAGCCTAATGAATAATTTATTTCAACTTTTATTTTGTAGAAATTAACTCCACAATTAGCATCGGTAAAATTTGCTAGTTGTAAATTACTTGGAAACATTTACTTCAAATTGAACAAAGATGCTGAAGGTATTGATCTGCTTAGTAAGGTAATAGTAATAATAATGACAATGATAATAATAATAGGTCTTTTGAGTATTTATATGTATTATATACACATGCTATTGTTTTATACATTTTTATGATTGTATGCGAATAAAATTATGATTAGGTATACTATTTTAAAATATAATAGTGTTTTTTTTAGCCTAGAACAACCTTCTTTTTTATTGCTAAACACTTGTTAAGTTTTGCATTTTAAATGGCTGATGAGACGGCTTCAGTCGATGATAATATTTATAATGTATAGTCAGTTCTTTGTTAGCTTTGATTTTAGCTACATAAGTGAATTACTATAAATTTTGTCTTTCTGTTTCAAATTACAGGATAAAGTATTTCAAGTATTCAGTTGTTTGTTTCCTGTTACGAATGAAAAAGGAGTTTAATTACATAGAGCTTGGAGATGAGAGACTAATCAATGTGTTTATACTATCTTTACTGCTAAGGTTTATAGTTATGTACCGAGTTTAATATGTCAAAACCTAAATACTCAGTGTAACAGAATGCATTTCAGTTGCTTTAGAAATGTTTTTATTCGGTAGTTTGAACGCCTTTATATTCGTCCATGAGTTTTCTGCAGTTTGTTTACCTTCACTTTCTGATTAGTTGTTATTATTTATTATATACTACAGATTTTTGTTAGAATATCCATATAGAAGTAAATTATTAATCAGTGTAGAGTTGTTAATCATTATATTGATGGTTATTCAGTTGATGTCAGTGTAAGATAAAAATTATCATTAGATTCGTCAACTCATTTATGAGATTTGTGTATTATAACTGTATTACTCATGAGTAACTGGTTTTTCTAATCATTTAGTTTCTTTCTTGCATTTTGTTGATTAATCAAATTAATTGTTCGCTTATTGATTGGCACACTCTTCTCTGGGAGCATGTTGAACCGATGACTTTTTGTGTTTGTCTGTGCTGATAGACGACTGTTGTTGATAAGTTTATCAAGTTGAATATGAGTTTTTAAAGTTAAACCGATTATGGTCACAAAATGTCGTGGGTTGATTAAAGTTAGACATTAACATCGTTGGATGCCGGATCAGTGGTCTAGAGGTTACGCATTTGCACGTAAGACCAAACGTTCTAAGTTCGATCTTCTGTGGTGGGTTCGTGTATGTGCACTGTTGCTGAGTCCTGTGCTAGGACGAAACGACCGTCTAGTGCTTCCAGGTTTCCAATGCTGTTCTAACGTGGTTCGGTTCTTAACTTCAATGAGATTTTTTATTTACTGTAGTGCTATATATATATATTTATGTGGAGCCAAAACAGTTTTCTTACGTTGATTAACCTCAGATGCGTTATTTTGGTGGTACTTACACTTACATCCTACACACCACTTATTTTTATTTTTAATATTTTTATTTTCAACATTTTGGTTTTCCTGTTTTTATTTTCTTTCTCTTTCTAGGCTTTACAAATCGATTCAAATGATTTAAGTCTTTGGATACGTCTAGCTCGTGCTGCTATTCGTTCAGGTTTCTTTGAAGTTGCTATCAATTCAATAGATCATATATTAACAAAAAGGCCATCTCATCCACTTGCATTGCAATTAGCTCTGCCGCTGTATTTTGCAGTCTCTGAACTAGAGAGTACGCTATATATATTAATTTTTCATCCATATATCTTTTTTACTGTGATGAGTCAAATAGTTTTTCCCACGTGAGGCATCATGTCTACTTATTACATAGAAATCTTTAACGGAAATCTACTCTTGTGTTGAAAGATTTAAATTAGCAAGATTAACTAAAACATCGAATAAGGCAATTGTTGTCGTCAAACTGAACACTTGAATATGAGATTTAATAAGTTTAATAAAATCGTAAGCATATGGATGCATACACTCATATTTTAGTGATTCATTTCACTTCATTTGCAATTAATGTAGTACCTAGCACTAAGATGCACTTTGCGAAATTCCCACACCAAGTCAGCATAGCGAGATTAAATTGGGCAGATAAATGACAATGAGTAGTTAAAAGTCATGGTTAAAAATACCGCATGCTGAAAAAATGGTTAAGAAAACTGAAGTCAAGGATTATAGTATTTAATTAACGATCAGAATCTAGAAGAAATTCAGGAATGAATACATCTGAGCCTTCATAAATAATTTGAAACCATATCACACAAGGTCTCCAGCCATTGGTCAAAATTTTCATACAGACCCTAACTTAGTGGTTTATACGTAACAACATGGTTCAGACTAAGTGTCAATAGTTTCGTAAACCGACTGAATTTTTCCTCCTGATTTTATACCAACCTACTCCTACGCCAACCAATGTCACTTGTTAAGGTATGGTTCGGAAGAAATAGTCGAAAACATCGTTATATTGCTACGTGTGCATTTTTTGATAAAAATCTATGGATATAAAACGCATAATATGTTCTTTTTACGAAAAGTACTTTCGTATTTTATCCTGTCTTTAAGTTAGATTCCTCTGACTACTTAATACATCATGATATATCTACCGTAAATGTACCTATTTAAATTATCTTCATCAGGCAAGATCGAATGTTTAAGATCTTTGAAAGACGGGGTGAAAAGTGAAAATTAGATTGATTCAATCATTACGATTTTTATTCATCATTACTTGCGGTTTAATTCTATTTAATGATTATTCAGTGTAGTATTCGGTTTTGTTTCCCCGTATAACATTACTTACTTACTTACTACGCCTGTTACTCCCAATGGAGCAAGGCCGCCGACCAGCATTCTCCAATTCACTCTATCCTGGGCCTTCTTTTCTAATTCCATCCAATTCTTGTTCATTTTTCTCATGTTATCTCCATTTCCGGCGTAATGTGTTCTTTGGTCTTCCTCTTTTCCTTTGGCCTTGAGGATTCCGTGTGAGGGCTTGTCTTGTGACGCAGTTGGGTCCGTATGACATACGATATTCTTATATTAAAAATTAACATGAACTATACTCAGCATATGATTTGTTATAACTGTAATTATTTTTTATGTATGTGATTTCATCCTAATTAATAATCAAAGTGTGTGTACAATCAATATATAAATGAGTGTATTTCCAACTAGACTTGTCGTGGTCGTTCATGGTTCTAGCTGCTTGTGGAATATATTTCCCTCTTTCGAACTTGGACTTCTCTCTCTAATTAGCTAGGCTGGGTTGCGACGGAATAGCTAGCTTATTGGTCATTTTGTCACGTTCGCAGATAGGTGAACTCGTAATCTCTTCAAACATTTGGCAACGAGGATGGGATTCGAACCCACGTGGGGAAATCCCAATGGATCTTTTCATCTTAAGATTGATTTAGTCTTTGAAATCTTGCTAGAGAGAGTTGTGTACTGCTTCCGTATAAATGCCTTCTTTTATTGTTACCATAAAGTGAGTAAATTTTGAAGTATGTGTTCATGAAAGTAAGCTAGTTCAGTGAATTATTAGATAAAACTGTACATATGAATTGGATACTTGTAGAGTAAATTCAGTGTTTGTCATGATTACAATACACTTGTGAATATCCACTTTTTTTCAAGGAATTTCAGTAGCAACACTACAAAATTCATTTGCATTCTCCTAGAATCCTAAACTATTATTATTTATTGTCAATATTTTGCTTTCATTTTCCCCCCACATACTAATGATTATTGTTTCAACATTTTACGTATGTTTCCGTTTAGTTTGCTTAGAATTATCAGTTCGTATGTTACAACTAGATCCTTTTAGTGAATATGCAGTTTATTTCATTAATCGAATACTTACAATTCAACCAAGTTTACATGAAATGATTCATGATCTATTCCTGCAAAGGTAATTATTATTTTCTAATTCTGTATATAAATATATTTAGGCCAGATATTTTGAGTCAATTACCGTCATGTGACGAAGCTGAACGGGTAAATTTAATATTTTAAATGTCCGATTAATGAATTTTTAAAATAAGTGGATATTTGTTTCATCTATTGTAAAATTTATTATGGGTAAACTAACTGGTTTCACTTCATATAAGAATTGGGATTTGTTGTTGAGGAGTTTAAGCAACATAGCTCGAAATCAGTTGCCATGCAGCTAAAAAGTATTCAGTTTTGATTTTCTAAATCTTTTATTATTTATTTATTTATTTTAACACATAGATAATGGTACAAGAAGGCACCAAATACATATGCGCCACACAAATATCATTCGATATGTGTGAGGGCTGTGATACTGCCCGGGTGCCCAAACCGAAACAGGTGGTTTTCTTAGGGGCCACACCCCGAGCCTTTGACCTGAAGGTCTGATCCACAAGGCAGTGGAGCAACGTAAGGAGATGCATCCCCATGGTAGCTGGTGACCAACGGTTGGTTCATACGCCATGTGTTCCATCAGGATACTGGAGACCATGTGCACCATTGGTTTGGGATCCGGTTAAAGCTCCGGACATTCTCTTTTCGTCCTCTAAATTTCGTAAACAACACCCAGGCCACGAGAAGGCAGTGAGTAGGACTTCCCTGGCAGAGGCTATATACGTGTGGCCGTGTGAGAGTATTTCGAGAGGGAGAGCGGACTCTCCCCACTCTCGGCCGTACTACTTCTAAGTCTTAAGTTCCATTATTGTGTATTTCGTTTTTGAATTTCATTACTTATTTCCAAGTTATATTTTTATGATCGTTGATTTATCACTCTTGTATTGATACTTTTGTTAATGTCACATCTGTTACTCACCTTGGTTTTCTCTCTCTACAGTGGTGTAATATGTGACAACGTGGATCAAAGCATATTTGTACCAAGTTCTATTTGGTTTTCATGACTGAGTGGATTTTAACTTTTTTAAATGTTCAGTACTAATTTATACTATATACTGTTTCAATTTATATATATGATAAAAAACAAATCTAATTCTTACTAGTACTGGAGGATTTATGGAGACTGTAGAGTTTTTATAGTTTAAATCAGCTTGTTATTTAAACTATAAGAATTCTAAAGAAGAAGAATGTATTTGTAAAATTTCAGCGAATGAATTTGAAGTAAATCTAACGTTTCGCCTGGCAATGTGGTCCAGGCTTTTTCATGGATTTACTTGGATTTACTTCAAATTCATTCGCTGAGATTTTACAAATATATTCTTCTTCTGTAATGTTTCACATCAACTCGGCGCCCAAATACTGTGAAACTATTCGATCAATTTTAGATAAAAGTTCTGATTCATAAGAATTCTAGTTTCCATTAATCCCCTTAAACTACTACTAATAATCATATGCTCACTAGTGAATAGCTTCAAGATACGGCTCCTAATGTTTTAATGAGAAACCGTGACCGAAGGAGTTTAATCTGTGTCGGGTGTGAAATAGTTATCCATTTCAGGAAATGGATGAGGATTTCATAATATTGGGAATTGATTGAAGTTAGATATGTACACCGTTAGATACTGGCTCAGTGGTTTAGAGGTTAAGCGCTTTCTGTGATACCCGGAAGTCCTGGGGTTGATTCCCGAGTGCGGGATCGTGTATGCGTACTATGGGTGTGTCTCATACTAAGACGAAACAACTATCTAGTACTTCTGTGTCTTCAGTGATGACCTAACTAGAATCAGTTCGTAATTTAAACTATGAAGAATAACTATTTTGATAGCCGTCAATGGGTGGAGGACTACAATTGACCTGATTTTGACCGTTAGATCGTTATAATCCTACCTGAATTGGAGTTATGAAGCTTCACTGTTACCATTTAATAAAGTATATAACGGAATGAGTATAATCTATTTCGTTATTTCCACATGTTCTTACGATTGTTATCGGATTAGAGATAAAATTTGTATTAAATATGCTAATCAGTGACCAGAAATTATCTCGGTAGTAATTCTGACTACTTCAGTGTGTTCTGTTTGATAGTAAGAATATGGTTTATAGTAGATTGTGAGATGTTATAAAGCTTTGCCTTCTCAGTAGCTTGCCAATATACATAAAGTCTTTTAGATACTAACAGTCTAATTGCTTTACTGTTGTATGGCAGTTAATGAAGAAATTATTTTTAAGAGTATGTAAATCCTTTTTGAATAGCTTTTGTTTGTTGGCGATAAAGCAGACTACTTGATTATGAAGAGTGGTTGGAGTTGTAGGATAACATGGGTTAGAATCGATCACAGTGGCGTAGATACACTTAATCTTTGTCTTTTCTTAGATCCTGTACTTCAAAATTATTTCATTAGTTTTATATTGTGGATTTACTTTCTTTCCCGTGTCATAGCCTTTTTGTCTAGTTTTTGCTGTCACTGATACTACTGCTACTATCACTTTGATATTCATTTTGAGGTTTGTCTGTCTGTGCTGATATGGTGTATCATCTTCAACTGCATATATGTGCTAGGTTTGTCATTGGTTATAACTAAATATGACTGACTGTTGGTGATAAGGTGAAAATTTAGTATCAGTTGTTGTGTACTGTCCTTCATGTCGTTCTTATACGTAGTTTATAGTTTTACACATTACATTGTATTTGTTTTGTTTAGATTGACCAAGAAATACAGAATATTCGAATAGTATATCGTAGACAAAAAGACGCCGAAACAGAACTACGAACAATTCCATTGGTTAAATTCCCATCTCCATTGAAACATTTAAGGTCAGTGGATTAGTTTATTTTCGCCATTCATTGATATCTCTATTTTAGCTCATTCCCGTTATTATGTTAATGGGAGTTTCGAACACATTGGAGGGGGCTCAGCCTTGCTTCCAACTGTCCCTATCGCTTAAAAAATACTGATACTATGTGCAAAGTATTATATTTAGCTCATAATAGGTAATATATTTTATGTATTGATCATATCTTCACCCTCGGCCAAGTGTTAGAACACCACCATACTTATTACAGGTCAGCAATCGTTGTGTTTCTTGGTGTCACAGCCTTCTTTGACTCGTTGGACAGGGCTTTCCTCTCGCATTGTTTATCGGAGGAGGGTGTGCCTAAGAAGTCTATTAAAATTTTGAAGGCCTTATATACAAACACCTCAGATAGTGGGGGGATATAACCATCTCTCTCCATTGTTTCATTTAAGCAATGATACCCGAGCCATGCAATCCACACCCAATCAGTTGGAAATCAGTGTCCGTAGGAATCCAGGACGTGCGTTTCGTTCTGTTTGGGACTCGTCAGCTGGATGTACCTGATTCTCTGCTATGTTTGAAGAGATTACGAGTGCACATAATCTGAGGACAGAACGATGACTGTGTCGCGTCCAAGCCCCGCTAAATAGAGAGAAAAGTCCAAGTTCGGAAGAGGGAGATATGTTTCACTAGCAGCCAGGAGTACGAACAATCACAACAAGCACAACTCAAGCGTATATATGCAGCATGTAAATGTCTTTGGAAAGTGTTACAAAATAGCATACTAAAAGATACAACGAACCAATAGCGTTTAAGATCCTCTCACGTTGGAAATACGATATGAAGGTGGAAATCGGTGCTTTCGGCTCGAAAACAAGAAACTCAAATTCATAAAATGGAATTATAAAAATAAGATATTTACCAAGTGAGTTCTGGGGATCTAACATCCCCAACAATCTCAGAGTTGATGTTCGCTCTGGAACTTCACGCTTTTACACAAGCAAGTGGCTATCAGGACTCAATAGCTAAGTGGGTTACGTGATGGTTTTTGAAGCGAACTGTACTGGGTTGATTGTCTCAGAGTGAACATCAGCTCGGAGATGCAGGTACATGCAACTGACGAGTCCCAAATAGGATGAAACGCGCGTCCTGGATTCCACTGCTTGCCGCTATTCACCTTTGCTTACAATTAGGTAGTGATGTAAACACTCCTCAAACGAAGCAATCTCTAGATTGATGATAATGATGATTATTTCTTTTAACATTTCTGTTTTTTTACCCATTTGTCAGCTGGCTACATTTAATTCAAGAAACAATAGCAATGTACGATCGTTTAAACTTAGAATCAGTAAGTACTTTATTTATTTATTTATTTTGCTATCGAAACTTTGATGTACGATTGCTTCTCGCTTTATTTTTGTATCCTAGTGAAGATTACATTACAAGTAACGTCTGAGACCTATTAATGGACTAATATTATTTACATATTCTCATGGTGTAAATATTCAGTAACTAGATTATGTGTATCTATATTCCCCTTGTTATAAGCTTTATTTTGACCTATAATTTATTATTGTACGACTTACTGTTCGTAAGCTATGTTCACTTTAATGACTATTGTCTCCCACGTTCACAGCCACTTTTTGGCTTTATTGTGTGCAAATGTTATGTCCTATTTTATGGTGCGTTGCGGTCTGTTTGGTTGATATATAAACCCAGTATGTCTGAAATAAATGATTCGATTCCATTCACATAGTGGAAGCTGGTACTGGTGTTCTGGACTCAAGTGGACGGGCTAGGAGGACATAGGACCAATTAGGACGCTAGGCTGCTCATACCGGCCGAATGTCATTGGTTTGGCATAGTCCTAAGATTGTATAAGTCGTATTTTGATTGGTGGGTAAATTGCGTGATAACTAGTGGGCCATAAAGCCATAGCAAATCGGCGAAGGGGATTTCGGCGAATAAAAAAATATATACAACAATCGGTGACGCAGGTTTTGGAAGAAATAAGCCATAATAATTGCCGGTGATTTTGGAGTTAATATTATTAGCAGTAAAAAAGTGGCGATTTCTTTAGAACAGTTGCAGTTAATATTACAGCACTAACAGCAACAGCACCAGCAGATGTTAGCCTCTCAACAACAACTATTCGAAACAGTTTTGGGCAGACTTTTGACTCAACCAGAAAATAAGAAGTCTATTTATGATGCAGACTGGTGCAGTAATGGACATTTCAGAAGCGTGTCCTGTGGAGGGTTCAAATCCCTTTATACATGAAGCAAAACGTAATATTGGTAAGTTTTCCAGCTCACAACAAGACAATATCTTGCTAGATGCACATGAAATTGTGACAATACCAGATGATCAAGAAACAAAAGATCATGTAGATGAAGCCTTAAGTTCAGAATTAAATGAAGCACTGCTGGTCCTGTCTAACTCTGGAAATAAACTTCAGCTAGAACAAAATTATGGTTCACGTGATATTAGTCGAGAAAGCTGTGTGTACTCATATCCAGAAAATAACTGGAGCAATAGGATGAACCCAGATGTACCATGTGATACTCAAAATCATTGGGAGACAGAAAATCATAGTAAACCAACTTGTCCGATTTCTCATGACAATGTACCAGGTATGGGTTCTCATAATAAAGCACATAATTTTGGTGAAATTCCTTATAAAAATGAGAGATATGTCGGCTGAACCAAGCTATAATCAAAAATGTAATCCAATTTTGTTAGATGTTGATTTTCCTAGCAACCTGGTATCCACTAATGAGATTCGTAATGAATTTGAAGAAAGTATTTCAGAAGAACCAAATCCTGATTACCTCAAATCAAATGACCATCTAGCCATTTCTATTGGATTCTCTAATCAATGCGAGAAACATGATTTAAATAAAGTCATGTTAATTGCAACTTGGAGATATGAGGATCCGACATTATTTCGTGGAGGAGGATAATGTTGGAGAATTTAGAGTTACACATACTTTATTTTAAATCAGAATCTAAACTTTGGATCTTCAAAAAAGGGGAAGGTGTTATATCCTAGTGAAGATTACATTCACTTTTTTATCTTCTTTTAGATCTTAAGTTTTCAAAATCATTTCTTACTCTGTCAATATACTCTTCTTCAATTATATTGGTTTTTAACTTATTTTTCCTATTACCGCTTATACTGTTAATACATCTGACTACTCTGACATCTGTTTTTATAATTTTCTTTCACTGTGATTGTATGGTATCAGTCAGTCAGTCAGCTACAACGTAGGACCAGGAACATATGTGCTGTGCATCGGTCCAAGTTGCCATACTTCATTAGCACAACAAGATGAACACCGGATTCATAGAAGTAGTTAATTCAGTGATGGTAAAATATAAAAGAAAGATTGTATATAAGGACATAGTACAGGAAGAAAGAATTAGTTCGTAGAAAAAAAGATATGAAGCGATTTTAATTACATAGTTTAAAGGAAGACAGAGAGTGTATACAACTACGCCATTGTGATCGATTCAGAGCCATGTCACCAAGAGTCTCCAACCATTGATTACGATAGTTATGCGAACCCCAACCAAGTAGTCCGCATCTACCAACATGGTATGGGAACTTGAACTAATGTATCTATGTCCCAGATTCTACATTGCTTATGGCTGAACTGACTGAACTGGTCAATGGTTTTTAATGATTTTCCAGATGACATGTTTTCATGATGAAATCTGTTTGCAATTTTAATCAATCTTTACACATGACTTGACTAAATTATTTCATTAATTAATTTAATGTTTAGGCAATTCATTCAGTTCTTGATTTATCATCATTGTTGTGCAAAAATGTACTTAATTTTGAATCAATTCCTAATGAGATAAATGAAGTTCCAAATAATACTGTTACAACATCATCATCAGCTTCTCTTAATTTAAAGTATGGTGAACAATTGAATGATAATATTGAACATGCTGTAACTTTGAATATTGAGAAAGTACCAAATGTTGATGCTGCATATGATACAATGAAAGATGATGTAAGTGATTTCAATATTGAGGCATCAAATGATGATTTAACTACTACTGCTGGACTTGAAAAACGTCGATCTTCTAGGGTAGGTTTTTTCATAAAAAGTACTATGTTTTTCTTATTTTTGGATGCCTTATACTATAGGGTCACGCTTTGTCTAACAAAACTATGCTGTAATTGTAATCTTTGGTTTTGATGTTGTGATAAGATAGGATTTGGGAGTTTCTTACTATTCATCTATTGGGCCAAATTAATTTATATTTCTATCGGGCAACCGGGTAGTATCGTTAATCGTCGCAGTGCGCTGCGCGTGCAGCGTTCTTCTATATTTATGGATTTGGTTCGTGTGTCTGATACATGTCCAGAATGTCCCTCGGACCCGAAACAAAACTTTGTCAATTCGTTGTACAATTATTCCTGGTGCCCCTCCATTCTTCCCAAGGTATAACTTGACAAACACTTTACCACCCACATTAAAACTTTGGGTATTCGGATTTCATCTGTGCGTATCCACTGTTTTAGGTGGCAACATAGCGTTGAAAATAGTTCGAATATTTCTTCCAAACATGATTTTGGCAGGGGATTTCCCACCTGGGACAGTACGGTTGGGAGTATTTCTATAAACTGTTAAGAATTTTGTGACTACCTGATGTAAACATATCAAGTTATATTTTCACTCGAAATTTATTCAGTGTTAATGACATATACTTAATTTAATTATCTTTATTTGTCTAGGTTAGAACATGCTTTGATTTAACGGATGGTTTAAATCGTTATTGTTCCAGACGATCTGTGGTAGCAGAATTGGAAAAGGCTTCGGACAAGTATAGACCTTCCAGTGAAAAATTAGCTAGCTCACAAAAGAAAGTAATTATATAAATGATCGGTTTAAATTAATCGATAGATTTCAAACACTTTTACCTCAAGTATTTAGGTGAGCTGATTACCTTTCTCTATTTTAACCGATTAATTGTAATGCTTGAGGTACTCTAATTATAATCATTTAGAAATTATTAGGAAGTTTTAATCATAAGAAAAAATTTGGAGTAATCGTTACAGTTAAACAAAGTTAATTTTCACAGCTCTGTACACTTCGTAGACATTTTCATCTACGTTGTAAATGCACAGTTTTTCCACTACCCGCTGACAGCCATTTTCAAACCAGAAAGCTCTGGACAGCGATGTCGTCCCAGTATGATAGCCCTTAGAATTCCTTATTTATGATCTCGTAGGAATCGAACCTGGGACCTTCAGATCTCGTAGCGAGCGCTTAACCTCTGAACTGTTGAACCGGGATCCTGTGGTGTACATATCAATCGATCGCCCCACCATCATCTGATACTTTTGGTGGGTGATTGATACGTACGCAAGCCGTTGGAGGATACTAGCCCATCAATCTAACGTTTGAGGACTCTTCACTAGACTCGAAACCCGTAGGTTCGATCTACTGTGGGGTTGTTGATGAGCATTATGAGGAACCCTAGAATAGGATGAGATGGATATCCAAAGCTCCCTGTTTTTCAATGGTTGTTCAACCAAGATCAACCTGCATAATATAAACTATGCGATTGAAAATCTCTATAAGCCATACCATAGTAATAATGACTAACAGCTAAAAACTTGACAATAGTAATACGTCAACTTGTATCCAGTTTAAGTTAAGTTTAATGTCGTCTAATGCAACTTATTTATTTATTTAAACACATAAACGTTGGTACAAGGAAGCACCAAATATATATACGCCACACTTCATCATCCGATTTATGTAAGGGAAAAAATACTGTCTGTGCGCCCAAATCAAAACAGGTGGTTAATTTTTCTTAGGAGGACACTCACCAAGCCTTCGACCTAGAGGTTTAATTCATAAGACAATGGATCAAAGTTAGAAGATGCAATCGCATGATAGTCGGTGACCAACAATAGGTGCATAAGCCATTTGTCCCATCAGGATAGTGGAGCTCATGTGCAGAATTGGTTTTGAATCAGGGTTTTCCAACTCCATGAGGTGGATCTTACGTACCTACCAATCCGGTTCAAGCTCCGAATATTCGCTTTTCGTCCTGTGCATTTCGTGAAGAAGGGCGCTGCTGTGAGAAGGCAGTGAGGAGAACTTCCATGTCAGTGGGTGTATATGCGTGGTCATGTGAGAGCGTTTCGAGAGGGAAGGCAGACTCTTCCCACCCTCGATCGTTTTAGGGCATTTTTGGAGCTTTCAGTAATTCCATTTACGACTGGTTCTAATAAATATATGAATTGATTCACGTGTTTCGTAATTGTGTGTTATAATTAGAAAAAAACAGATAACTTGTTGAAATAATTAAATGGCGGAAACAGGTAGCCCAGATATTCAAGCAGGCCGCCGTTTTTTAGTGATCCTTACTGTTAAGCCAGACGCTATCGTTAGGCTGACGTGATTTATATGAACCATGTTAAGTATTTTTATCATTGTTTACGACGAATTGTTACCAGACAAAACAAAATGCTACGAACTAAAGGTTTTTTTCTCAACAAATGCTTGTTGTTACTCGATGGTAAGTACTCTAACTGTGACATTTGGTGATGCAGATCAGAATTATCGTCGGAGGTGCCAATTCTTTCAAGATTGCAGACAAAAGTTTGGTATTGGGTTGACTCCTTTCACCCGCTTAACATAGAATGAGTAAATTTATTTGAGGTTTTTACAGTAATGCGACCATGAATATGTTCCTGTACGTCAACAAAATTGTGGAGATTGATGGATAGTTTATAATTTCCTAAAATTATTTAGTCTTACTTATTACATTGTTTGAGATTAAGGGCATACACAAATTCATTGTACTATACATATGCTTTTCTCTCTTCATTCGTCTATAAACACACATTCAATATCACTATCTTATTATAGAGATCTTAGTGTTTTCGATCAAAACCGAAAATCTCGAAAGAACTACAGGCAACCACAGAAACACTTATTCCGTGCACTGAATCATTCACTGAAATGTCATCAAATTATTCAGAATGTGGTTAGTTTGGCCTATTTATCAATTTGATTTTATCCTGCTTATTATAGTGCATTAAATGAGAAAAGCAATCAATTTTGCAGAGTTAAAGAAGTACTAGATGACTTATTTTTAGTCGCATAGTTTTATTAGTATCCATTCAAACTAGCAAGATATAAGCAGAGATAGATGATGGTTTTCAATTAAATCCAGGACGCGCGTTTCGTCCTATTTGGGACTTATCAAACGGATTTACCTGCATCCCAGAGTTGATGTTCACCGCGGACTCGAACCCAGTACTGATCAATCACAGTCTTAAACATCATTGGGGAGATTCAAACAACAACAAAATGAATTGGCAAAATATAAGTAGTTTTATGGATAAATTAGATTTTTCAACGTTCAACTATCTTAATGTCCAACTTCAACACCATCGGATGCCGGCTCAGTGGTCTAGCTGGTTAAGCGCTTGGCGCGAGACTGGTAGGTTTTGGGTTCGAATCTCGCGGGGTGCGGGGTCGTGAATGCGCACTGCTGAGGAGTCCCATACTAGGACGAAACGGCCGTCCAGTGCTTCCAGGTTTTCCATGGTTGTCTAGCTTCAATTGACTCATGATTTCAATCTGTGAAATTTCTAAAAATCTCCACAAACCCCTTCTGATATTATTATTATTAATTATATCACTGATGAACACATGTAGCTAGAAATCACATATTTCTAATATAAAAATTCCTAGTGTTGAAGCAATTTCAAAAGATGTGTACCGAAAACTGTTTTTACATATCAAGTTTCATGAATTCATGTTGTTAGATTTCATTTGATTATATCATTCTGTTAATCTGATTAGGAGATACGGTTACTTATCTGGAGTACTTTCAAACTGTTGTTATCGAGCATTAATATTCATCACATACTTTCTATGGTCACATTATTAACGCCAATAACAGTATCATACAAATCACAGATTATAGTATTCAAATTTTTGTTTCCTTAGGAAGATCACAGTGAAATTTAACAACTCTATATAGGATGATAATTTTTTAATTTGGTGAATTGTGTCTGAAAAATTCTAACCGAGTTCTTTACACTATCAAAAATGTGCATAAAACCATCCGTAAATTCATAGTACGTAATGGTTTGACTAAGGCATTAAATTTTCAGTAAAATCGATGTATAAATACTGTTCTTTCTGGTCCTGTGTCTACTTTTTAAAGAAATATGGTTGTATACTACTGCTATAAAGTTTCAGTATAGTAGGACGTATGATGTTTGGGATAGTGGTTTTGACGTATGAATCAACTATTTAGTGGTTTGCAGCTTTTGCAAATCCGAAATGTATTGACCTAGATTTCTGTTAATTATTTTCCTACTTCAGTGACATCAACTTTTTCTAATATGTGGAGTCAAAAGTCGATCCATGAGTTCCTGGTTCTTTTGAATAACATGAAACCGAATATTATTACATTTGGTATATCATTGCTTTTACAAACTAGTCGCCTTTCCGGATACCGCTGGTAAATAGTTTTTTCATTTCGTTATTTGTTACCAATTATTTTATACACATTGGATTGTTTATTGCGAGTACTACTGTTATTCGAAAATTGAAATATATAGGGTGGTTTTTTTAAAGATGACCTAGTTATTATACAGTGTGGAGAAATGGGTCAGTGGGTAGGGCGTTGAGATTTCAACCCTTATCTATTTACTTTTGTCGCTCGACTGGGTAGTATCACTGGTCCTCTCACTTAGAGTGTGGCTCAAAGCCGATTACATGGATCTACTCCTCGTACAGTTGTCAGTACTGGGGTCGGAAAAAGATTTAGCTGACAGCTGTATCCTATTGTTGACTAGTAGACTATCAATTCATTAGCCGAATTTTTCTTCTGTGTATTGCACTCAGTCTAAGTATCATGTCATAAGTAACTTTTGGTGCTCAATTAAACCATGATTTTAAAATTATGAATCCATTTTTGGGTACTTTTCCATATTGGTTGGTTAGGCTTTTTAATCCTTCCTAATAAGTTATTTTATTACGTATTCCAATATCATGTAAATAATATGTAAGGAATACTTGTTTGGCTTTCCACAAGACAACAAGAATAGTTACCTCTACATTTTATGTGCGATTGGATATCTTTAAAGTGTGGTTTTATGGTTACTTCTCAGTTATCTAATAACCACTTTACATTCTTATACGTATCACCATCAACAACTGACCCGCATTATTTTCGGCACAACTTATAGCATACAGTGATTCTGCGATTTTAATTTTCATAAAATTTGTTTAAGTCACCGATTACATATGTCTTTTTCTTGGCTTCTTTATAGGTCGTTAGAATTATCAACTGCGTATCTAAATTTATTTGACCGTTTACGACCGTCTTTTCCTTATTTATTAACAACTCCACCCTCCTCATCATTGTCATCATCATCACCGCTACTGGAAGCTGTTATTCATCAAGATAAAATACAATCAGAAACCTGCCTGCTACCTGAGGATGTTTTAGCTTTAAAAGTAGCTCCAGAATTATATCACTTAGCATTTTTCTACATTATATATGTAGAATTATATTTAGAAGAATTAGAATCTACCAGTCATAATTCAACGAAATCAAAAGAAAAGTAAGTTTAGACATCAATCAGCGGTTTTGATTTTTCCCACTTCTTATTTGTGAATGTAGAAAGATATTACTGGCTTAAAAATTTGTATTCGACGTAACAGCTGAATGTTAGTTGTTACGAAGTTTCAAAAGAATTTATGTTTTGGAATAGGTTTGTGGAAATTGTTCAGTTTGAAGATAAATCACATTGCAGATTGATTTAAGCTTTTGAAACCTATCATCTACCGATGGTAATTGTACCAATGCTCATGCAACTCAACTCCACCACTCACGTTCATATCAGAACTTCAGGAATTGTTCTTGAGGTTTGTTAGTAATAACAAAATATTAGCTTCTGCCACTAGATACCAGCTCATTTCTGAACAAGTGGTACATTCGCCACGAGATCTAAAGGTTCTGCGTTCGATTTCTTGTAAGGTCATGAGTGTACTCTGCTAAAGATTTCTGAACTAGAATGATGGAGATATTCAGTGCCTTCTGGTTTTATTTATTTTATCAAAGTATGTCATTTTTTCATTGAAGAGTACTTTCGGATTACGTAAGATCTTGTAATCCTTAACAAGTGACTTTTACGGGCCATTTTTATCTTCAAATAATTTAACATCTACATTGTACTTCTAAGTTATCAAAGTTGCAATTAACTTTTCATTATAATGAATTATTCTTCGTCTGTATCTATTATGTCTAAATCATTTATAAATAAATATAGTAGGTTTTATTTTCAAGATAGAAGTGTATTAATTTTTCTCTTTTGTGATGGTATTTTATAATTAAATAGTTAGTATTGAAATTTAGTACCCGTTAAACAACTGGTGAGAATTTTCAAACGAACATTTAGTTCTCCTAATTTTTTCTTCGTTTCCAGTGACAGACTGATCAGTGTACATTGTTTTACAGTCCTTATTGCCAAAAAGCATGGTCGTCAGTTTCGATAACCATAATCCTTTCGTCCTGTACTCTTTTTTTTTCCAAATTCTTCAGTTATTAGGAAATCTATATCTGTCTGCCTTATTTTGGCTTATTTTCCTATGCTGCATTAATTTTATTGTTCGTTTCAGTGATTTTAACCAGGAAAAGTAATTTTACTATTATCATTATTATATTTTTACAATTTCAAGGAATTCGAGACCGACTGAAATACTAACACCAGTATTCTCTGTGTTAAACGATGTACTTGCAGGATTTGGAGAAACGTCATCAGATTATCCTATTGTTATGAGTCATTGTAAGTGTTTGTATGATTCTATTAAACCTTTGCTTGATTATTATTGATTCATATTTAGTTAGATGCCAGTAACTTCTAGTTTCGATTCCGTCGGCCAGATACGACTGTTATTCCCCTACTTTTCTCTTAACCCAAGGTAATCTAATAGATATTTATAAGATAGGTTTATTGTCAGTATCAGAAAAGATTGATTCGAGCAGACGAGAAATGTAAATAAATTTATTTACGAAGACTTTAAACGTAGGATAAAAGCTTATCATATTAAAAGATACGCTGATTAATGAGAAATTAGCGTCTTTAATCGAGACGAAAATCACAGTTTACGAGCGAAATAATGGAAATTCAAACCTACAAAAATAGCAAATGGTTTTGTGGCTGTTTAATTTCCGCAAAACTTATTTGCTGAAGATTAAAATTAAAGACAACTGCAACTTTACGGCCATAGTTACATTCAGTGAATTACGCCAAGATAAAATTATTTTGTTGTGCCATGATATACTATTCTTATACGATAAAATGACTGGTGATCGAGATTTCACTACTACTGAACTGGATACTCGGTCTATAGAGACTGTACACGGACTGAGATTACGTTAACCAGACAAAGAATTCACGACCGAATATAGAGAACCAGAGTATAGACTAGAAAATACTTTATTTAAAACAATTATTAACAGTCCATACTCAGTGAATCAAGAGTAGAAGTCAAAAATAGGAAGAAAATCACAAATTAATTAGTGAGTAAGCTAAGCGTTTGTCTGTTCACATTCAGTGGTTAATCACATGTTCTTTTACCTAGCCTCATGTTAGTATGCATTAAGAGAAATGTATAATATGGGGACGAGACCATCAGCTTCGATATAGTTTTTTATAAGCTGTCAAAGCATACTTGGGATCGAAAATGCTGCTACTGACCGGTTTATGGCTGATTTTGATGAAAACTTTATTATACGCACCATTTACAGACTTTAGGTTTGTTATGATGATATGCATCCAGTTTAGTTGTAGGCGAGAAACGATTGTGGATGATGATGAAGAGAAACATAGCGGCTATGTTTTCAGTTGTTAAACTTACTAGCAGAGAAAATCTACTAAACTAGACTCACTTTTTTCATGGTTCGCCGATGAATTTGGGATAAGTGATATTGTTGGTAGTATTATATTGGCTTTATTGGACATAGCAAATCAAGTTCACCAGCATTGATGAATATAACTAAAGTAACAGCTGTTCATTAGTACCATTACTGTCGAGAAATTCACTGAAATATATTGGTTATCTTTCAAATCTTCTATAGCGGTATCGAAGAAATTGTAGACGAAAAACGAATTTCCGGAGCTTGAACCGGATTGGTAGGTACGTAAGATCCACCTCATGGAGTTGGAAAACCCTGATTCAAAACCAATTCTGCACATGAGCTCCACTATCCTGATGGGACAAATGGCTTATGCACCTATTGTTGGTCACCGACTATCATGCGATTGCATCTTCTAACTTTGATCCATTGTCTTATGAATTAAACCTCTAGGTCGAAGGCTTGGTGAGTGTCCTCCTAAGAAAAATTAACCACCTGTTTTGATTTGGGCGCACAGACAGTATTTTTTCCCTTACATAAATCGGATGATGAAGTGTGGCGTATATATATTTGGTGCTTCCTTGTACCAACGTTTATGTGTTTAAATAAATAAGTGAATAAATAGGAATCTGGCTAGAATTTAATATCTATGCCTCATTCCTTTTCAGATTCTATTGGGGTTTATATGTTATAATTTGATCTGCCAATATTCTCACAAAGATGACAATAATAATTTTCATAAAACATGTTTATATGCCTGGCTTATTAAATGGAAAAAGACAGAGATTATTTCATTATCCTATTTTAGATTAAATTGTTGTAACTAGAATTATAGATTTTATCATGCCCCCTTCCGGTGTTTTTTGTTTGTATCATTTGTAGTGTTATGGATGCATTATTTAATGAGTTCACAACGTCGTGATTATGCAGAAATGAAAGAGTGTGTACTCGCTGTAAGTTGTGTTCCTTAAATTTGTCTGTAAAAACGTCTTATTTTTGATCGTGCGTAATATGGATTGTGTTTAGTGCCTATTTCTTTTTATTGATCAAAATACCAATGAAACATGTATCAATGTTTTTGCGCGATTAGAGAAAGAGAGAAGGTTTATAATAATTTTTCAAATTTTTGTGACAATGTGTTGTATAAACTTCAATAGAATAGCTCTGAACTGTTGTTTAGTTGAGCAATAAGAAATCGAGTTTCAGATGAAGTTGACTATATCAATTCGGTAGTGATGTTGGTCGTTGTGGCTCACAAATCAGGGAAGTACAATATTCTGTTACTAAACCCATCGTTTATAGCATCAGGGCAATACCTCAAAAATTACCTTAGAGACAGTATTTAACAAAATGGCTTAAACTGTGTTCTATCATATGAACCTCAAGAAACAACTTTAAATGGATACCACATCTGTTCCATTGTAGGTTTATTAGCATTATCCGGTCAAACCACATTTATTTGACAGTGTTTGCGTTAAAAGCAGCTTCGAACTGGCATGTAAAATAAATCAATAGTGCTATGCATCAACATGTTGACTAACTGACCAATCAATTTATTTCCGGCCGCCTTCAAAATATGTTATTTTCTTTCGAGTAGTGCGGAGTTATAACTAATCAAATGAGGAATCTGTCAAGTCATTGAGCATTTCGTCTTTGCGTCAATAGTTATCTGTGTTAAACCATGCTTTCATCACTTTTTACTCGTTAATGCATATAATAGCTTCAAGTGACGAATAAATTTTGTTCACGTTGTTCTGGTTTCTTTTTTCTTGTTTGAATTTTGAGCTGGGTAATGGATACTTACATAATCTGGTTATTATTGAAAATTTACTATCGGAATGTGGATTTGTGGAAATTATAATAATTTTTAATGGTTGAATTCATGAGTCGATATTAGCTAAACCTCAATTAAAAAACGTGGAAGCACCAGACGGCCGTTTTGTCCCAGTACGGGTCTCCTCAGCAGTGCGTATCCACGATCTCGCACGTGTGACTTAAATCCAGGACCTCTGGTCTCGTTCGAGAACGCTTAATCTCTAACCCACTGAGTTAACATAGTGCGCTGCCATGGAGCTTCATACTAGGACGAAACGGCCGTCCACTGCCTCCAGGTTTCCAATGATCGGTTCATGAATTCAACTATGAAAATTTATGAGATATATATGTAAAAATTATTCGGAGCTCATCTAATCAGTTAATTGCCACCGAATGTTCCTGTGGTAATAACAACGTATTAATCTTCAATAAAGTGTTTCATTGTATTTTGAACTATATAACACCCTTATTTATTCATACTACTATATTGTTTCATAATTTTCTTATGGTTGTTAACAAAACCTCTCTTTTTTAGCTAAAGAAGCTGATTATAGAACACAAGCTGGTTGTCGTTAGATCATATAGTGTACATCATGGTGACTTAACAGTTGGTTAGTTTTCTATTCTATTTTAATGATAAAATAACATTTTCATTGTTGTATAGTTTTGTAGTGTTGTTGACTTTTAGTGTTTATTGTAACTTCCATTTCTTTTTTGTTGATGATATTGATCATTATTCATTATATAATTCGACCATTATGGCGACAGTTTTTGTGGAATAGATAAAATGTGACTAGTAGTGGGATTCAGGATGGAGGTTTTGTCCTATTCGGGACTCAGACTGGCCGGATTTCAATTACGATAATCCAAATCATTACAAACTAAGTTAAAATTCATACCCATTGCACAAGTAATTGGCTGCTTGGTCTCAGTAGCCATGTGGATGACGTGATGGCGTTTTAAACAAGTGGTACTAGGTTTGAGTTCTGGTGTGAAAATCAACACTGGTATGCTGGTACATCCACCTGGTGAGCCCTAGATAGTATGAAACGTACATCTTGAGTTCCACAGTTAACCACATTCCATATATCCTACGTAAACTGGTGTTATAACGGTATTTCACACAGGATTGACATATATAAACTAGAACTGATCAAAATTCAGTTGAAATGTCAACAGTGGGACAACATAAATTATTTCAAGTTAAGTTTTAATGATGAAAAGTTTTCTTTTATTCTGAAGTTATTAACGTTAAGTCAAAATATGAAAAATATTTTTACGGCGTTTTGTCTGTTTATTTCTATTTAAAGTACCTTTTTCAATGATTTAATGTATGTCTTTCGATCAAATAGCATTTTAAACCCGTAGCTTGTTCTTTTACAACTAGACTCTTGATAGGATTTACGGAGATAAAAATATTCACCTTTAAATTGTTCTGTAATTCCCTAATTTGATTTTTTCACTAAGCCACTAATCAATCGTGTGTAATCTAAGTGTAACTCCATTTTTTTGTGGTCAACTCGTAGCCAATGGATCCATGCCAAATCGAATTCCATTTAGCACTTAAATTTGTCGAAAGTTCTATGATGAAATACTGGTTTATGACTGTGGAAAATGTGTTGGAATAAATAAATATTTTATTCAACTTTTGTTGTTATTAAGTTAGTCTACATGACAGAATGCTGATCATGCTCATTTATATCCATTTAAAAAATATCATTTCGCTCGGTCGATTGCTTTCCAGGACGTACTACTAACAAACTGTTATCGACTGAAAGATCATTGAATTATGGATAGCTGTAGAACATTACTTTTATGTCGATTTCCACATTCTGCATTACTTTTGACTGACTGAATGATTGGCTAACTATTCTAGGATATTTTTTTCAGCATACTGTTGTTACATAAAGTGTATCTAAAAATATACATATTTTCTATTCCTATAGATTACATGAATCATTTATTAATAAAGTTAAAAGATGTTTCATCTTTCGATCACCTGATCCAATTATCAAATGAAGGTCAACATGAAGCTGTTGTAACGGAGCTAATTAAAACATTTCAGATTCAACGTAATATAAATTCAGTATGTTAACATAAATTTATCAGTAGTAATGTTTATTATCAATATACTTTTGAAAGTAAATTTCATTATTTATCGTTTGTATCACAGGTATGACTATGGTCAACTAACCGTTGAAAATTTGAAAGCATTGAGCATCTATTTTATCCGAGTATAGGGCGGCTCAACACCCAAAACCTTTCTGCAGGGAATCGAACCCAGGAATTCCTGATCTCGTGGTGATCACTTAACCTACTTACTTGCGCCTGTTAACTATTAAACCAATTTTAGTATCCAATGGTTTACACTTCTAACTTCATTCGATTTGCAACGTTTCACAATTATCGTCTGGTGTCATCGGTGGTAACTGTTGTGACCGGTTGAGTTCAACCATATCAGATGTAAGGCAGAATGCCAGCTTAGTGGTGAAGATGCTTAGTGCTCGTCAAGAGACCTGAAGATCATGAGTTGGCTCCTCTGTGGTCTTGTATATGCGCATTGTTAATGAGTCCCATGTGAAGACGAAACAGTCATCCGGTGCTTATTGATTTTAAGCAATTGTTTAACTAAAGTCATTTCATGATACTAGCTATAAAACTCAACAGTGTCCACAAATCCCCTCGTGCTAATATACATTATATATTGATTATGATAAGCAGATTAGCATGTAAATAAAAAACCTAATTCAGTGTCTTATTGATTCTATACAGGGGTATCAGTAATGAATGAATGATAAATACACGGTGGTCGTATATACATTCAAATGACAAAGCCAGACAAATAATGGGATGCCATTTTTAATTTTATGTTTAATTGAGTTAGACTTATGTTGAAGATTTCTTTCTCTCATTTTTCAGATTTGAGCTATTAAAATTACAGCTTTTACAACACGCCTTAGATAAGTAACTGTTAGTCTTGTTTTGCTTATAGAAATTTGAACGTAATTGGCTTTTATAAAATCCAGTTATTCAATGTACTATTGTGATGTATGCTACTGTCAGCATATCCAATCACATCACTGATCATTGAATGTGTTGTCATCGCAATACTTCCAATTTACTTATGATTAAATCTGAAACAACTGATCCTTGCGAGAAACGTAGGTAATGCAACGAGATGATGTTTATCAGAACTATGTGATATGTTATTAATATCATGAATCAACATAAGTTAGAGATCCATGAAAAGCAGGGAACACTGGACGGATCCTCTAACCTGGTGTGTGACACATACGCGATCCTACTGTAGGGGATTGGACCCAGAATCTGCTGTCTCTCATGCGAACGCTTAACGTTTAGACCACTGTGCCGTAATCTAATGGTATATTTATCCAACCTCGGTCAATTCACGATATTTCGCAACCATCTTCCATTGTTTTCGGTAAGTAACTAACTTACATCCGGCTCGCGTTCGCACACAAGACGAAAGGTTCTGTGTCCGGTTCCCTGTGACAGAAGTGCAATTGTCTACTGCTGAGTAGTCCTATATTAGGACAAAACAACTGTCCAGTGCTTTCTGCTTTTCAGTTAATATCTAACTTAGGTCGGTTCGTGCTATCGATAACCATCAATAATCGCCACAAACCTCTATATTGATAATTATGTGATATATATATATATATATATATATATATATATATATATATATATATATATTGGCAAACAATCTAAGCAAACATTAACTTGTTCAGATATTTTTTCATAAATCGAATATTTGTTCGTTGTTTTTTCTTCATTATTTCAGAAACAATCTTCATCCGACTCATATGATCATTATCAATCTATCATCAAACAACTGGATTTATGCTATGGTTCATTGAAACATTTAATCATGAATTTAACACTAAATAATGACAAAATTGTTCGTAATAATAATGATAATAAAAATAACAATTCTCCTTCTTGTGAAACTAATCATACTACCACTACTATTAGTAGTAATAAAGATGATAGTAGTATGCATACAATATCTTGTTTAGATGTTCGCTCATTATATTGTTATTGTACTGTAGTCATTGAGGAGTGTTTAATTCTATTGAATAGATTAAGTCAACATGAACAAGTAATCACTGAGGGATCTGTTCGTAGTGTTGGATCAATTATAATCAAAGTAATTAAATTTTTAAATAGGTATGTGTGTAATTATTTGTTTCCTGATTTGTTTGTTTGTTTGTTCAAATTTTAAAGATTATCTATACTTTTTTTTTGAATGATCACCGTAGATTGAGTCTTGTGTATGTAATAACTGTAACTCAGCGGTAGGCTTTTATTTATTGAATTTTGATGAATTTTAAGAGGATAACATTTGTTATCCGCCTATTTGCATTTTTATATATTCGACCCACACTTCAATACATAGATCTATACATCTGGCTAATGAAAGTGTTGTAATTATGTGATGCGTGTGATATAATATTGCATTTTGAGTAATGTACTCGTCAGCTTTTCTGTCTAAGTAAATGTTGACGCAGTATTTATTATTTATTTATTTAAACACATAAACATTGGTACAAGGAGGCGCCACACTTCATCATCTGATTTATGTGAGAGATGAAAAACTGTCCGTGCGCCCGAACCGAAACAGGTCGTTAGTTTTCTTAGGGGGTTAACAACTCTAAAAACTACCGCTTAGTTCAATTTTAATTCATACATATATTAGTTATTTAGAACTACTAATTACTGTTTAGGACTACATTGGTCAGTCTCTTTTGGTATATATGCATCATGCCCGGATCGTCTCAATATTGCCATCAGGTGACAAGCATTTTGGACAGAGATGGATGGTGACTACCAGTGGAATTCAGGATGCGCGTTTTATCCTATTTGAAACTCTTCAACTGTATGTCTCTGCATCTCAGAGTAAATTTCCACAACGGGACTTGAATCAGTAACATTCTCTTGGAACGTCATCACGTTATCTACTGAGTCCAGTTGGTCTCTACTTTGTGCAATGGGGTGAATTTTAATTATTATATGTTCCTGCTTAAAATGTTTATGACTTACTGGGGATATCAAGGGAATCGTCACAGGATGCATATATACCAAAAGAGACTGATCGATTGTAGTCCTAAACATCAATGAGTAGTTTCAAACAACCAATACATATGTATTAAAATTTATCCTATTGCAGAAGGCAGTGACTATGTGGACTCAGTATTTAAGTAGATAACATGATAACATTTCAAGAGCAAGATACTGGGTTCATGTCTGAGATGCATCCATCTGACGAGTCCTAAAGTAAGAAGAGACGTGCATCCTAGATTTCACTGCTAGTCACCATATATTTCTACTTAAATTATATATTATCTATTTCATTTTGATGACCAGTGTATCAACATACATATGGAATCCTAGATGTACTTGTTTTTCTTGTCTATTGATTTACTCATTCGTGAATGTTGATATTTCAATCAATGTTGATAAATGTGGCTGGCTCTTTTACACCTAATAATAACCCTTGGGGTTGCACAAATATGATTCAACTGTTAAATAGTGTAACTTGTTTTTTTATCTTAAAAAAGATGCCATTTGAAACTGAATAAAATTTGTCAATGTATTATCTTTTTCTCTTTAGAAGTGTAATGATTATTACAATTTATCATTTCATTTAAAAAAATATTTTCTCTGTGTATCCATATAGGTGTTGGATATTAATGGGTGATGAGTATATAAATGACGATAATCAGTCTTATTCAAATCAATCAACTATAAAATTAAACACATCAACTGATATATCCTTATATGCTAATTTATCATTAAAGTTATTCACATCTTATGATGATAATGATGATGAGGTAATAATTACCTTTGATAATAAAGATAATTATGATGGTTTTAATAAAACGGTGAAGAATAACAATAACACAGAAAATAATCAATTGAATTCATTCAACAGTCATGATGATGACGATGATGATGTGTCAGTACATGAAATGAATATAAATAAAGTAACATCGTGGTTAACAATTTCTGAAGCATGTCGAACGGTAACTGTCCTCATTGATTTATTAATATGTATTATACGTACATCGGTTAATTTACTATCGAATTGGAAAATGGATTTTTATTTACAATTAACTTCTTTAATATATGAACATTTATATTGGTAAGTTCTACACTCATTGTTTTTGGTTAATTAAGTGTTCAAACTATTATTATTATTATTATTATTATTATTATTATTATTATTATTATTATTATTATTATTATTATTATTATATTTTAAATACACGGGTCTGGTCAAAGAGAGCGTCACAAACACTAACGCTACATAAATAGAATAGTTATAATATGAAGAGATAAACGAAGGGAGAGTCTTACAATCAACCGATAGCTGAGTATAAATGGTATTAAATAAAATACTAAATTTGGTTTAAAATACGACCATGAGAAACGTCTTTCAACTCAAAAATGGGTTATCTCACTTTTAGAAAGAATTTAATAGAAAACTGTAATATGGTTTTGTTGTGAGCGAGTTATATGTGTCCGAAAACTATCAGCAACAGCCTACTGTGTGAGAGAATAAACCAGTTTCTTGCTGAAGAGGAAATTAGGAAGAGAAACTGGAAATAGATAGGACATACATTACGGAAATCACCAAACTGCATCACGAGGTAAGCGCTAACCTGGAATCCTGAAAGGAAACGGAAAAGAGGAAGGCCGGAGAACGCACTACATCGGGAATCGGAAGCAGACATGAAAAGGATGAATAGCGACTGGAGAGAATTGCACAGGAAAGAGTTAGATGGAGAATGCTGGTGGGCGGCCTATTCTCCTTCACGAGGGGTATCAGGAGTAAGTAAGTAACTATATGTGATAACATCTCAATCCATTGAGTTGCAAAATTTCAAGATCTCGACCAGGGAGTTTTGACGTGCCAACATTTACTAGTCATATACAACTATCTTGGATGTCAGTGAACCATGTGACCAACTAATCACTTCTCTGGCTTTTATGAAAAAGTTATAGCATCGAGGATATTGAATATATTACTGATTATTTTTTATCCTATTTAATTTAACTGTCTAATGTCTACATCACTTTTGTTTAAATGTTTATGTTTTAGTCACTAACTAGTTTCGAAAATAGACCACCATTGAAAACCTGGAAGCACTGGACGGCCTTTTTAGTCTAATATGGGACTTCTCAACAGTACGCAGCTACGACCCCACCACAGGGAATCAGACCCAAGACTTTCGGTCTCTCATGCAATCGTTTAACTCCTCATACGTTGGCTGTTGTGGATAAATATGTCACACTCGCCACCGTTGAACTTCACCGGTTATGGTTTCTCGTTAGAGTGATTTCAAGGTCTAAGGGTTAGGCGTTCGGATGCCAGACCAAAGGTCATGGGTTCGGTTCTATAACGAAACAGCTATTGAGTGCTTCCAGGCGTTCGATGGTGGTCTAGCTAAGATCTTAACTATGAAAATTCTACAATCTTCACAAATCCTCTATCCTATTTACTTAGTTAATAATTGAATTTACCATTATTATTTTTAGCATAGAACATAGTATTCCTTGTTCAGCCTTACCAATTGAATTGCGTATCTATCGATTTGATGCAGAATTAACAGTTGATGATATACCATTTGAATTGAAAGTTAATGCATATAGTGGAACGGTTAGTGCACCTCCAAGTATCGCATGCTTACATTTATTCCATGAACTGTCTCTGGTGTTATTTGCTTATAATCAAATGTCCGGTGTAAATATTCCATGTCGTGACTGTCCAGGTTTATTGAAATTATTAATACAGATAGTGATACGGAGTAGTAGACAACTACAATTATTAAGTGCAAAGTTTTATTCACCTGATATACGTACATATCTAGAAACAGGTAATCGTAGTGATTATCTAGCTGATAAGATTATATCATGTAATAAAATTTCTACTGAATGTTCAACTATTCCTCAAACAAATGAAGAATTCATAAACCCAGTTTCTCCGGATGATAATACAATAGCATGTACAGATGATCTTCAGGAGAGTATAACTTATAAATCTTGGCCAATTGATTGTGTTTGTTTAACTCAAGTATTAAGTTGTGCTGTGAAATGTCTATTGGGTGGTTCATTAACACGTGAAATTACTACTGTCTATCAATCACCAATGGAGAAATACTTATTCTTGGAATTACTAGAATCATCTGATTTTGCAAAACTTTTTGATTGTATCAAAAGAAATCCGTCGATAATTATGTTAATTTTTTACCTGAATGGATTAATACTTTAAAGAATTTATACACTTCTTCTGATATATTTGATCATCCATATTTACAACAACCAATACAGCAGAATAGTTTGAATAAACCTAATTGGTGGAATCCAGCCACGATTGATGATCAACAAAGAGTAGGTTATTTACTGTTTTCTTCTTGATTATTACTATTTATATGTGTTGTGTTTGTCACTTTTATATTTGTGGATTGCTTAACTGATTTATGGTTAGTATTGGGACCCTGAATCTAAAGACGCGTAGTGAGGACAAAAATTAGTGATATTGGATTTATTCAACCATGGCAATGAAGCGAAATGATACATAAATACACTCATTCATATATTGATGTTACTTAAATTTGGTGTCTAGTTAACAGTTGTTATATATAGAAGAAATACACTGGGTTTCTACAAAAATTCAAGCTACATATCTTACTAGATGAATTCCATACTGAATTGGTGCAAGTAATATATCTTGGATGAACATCATACTAAGATAACGCAATGTTATACCGAACAAAATATCACACTAGAAATTAAACAAGTAATAGACTGAATAATTATCGTATTGAATTAAAAAAATGAAGTATTGTTTAACGAAATTTACAATAAGTTAATAATCTAATTTTGCATTTTCATCTTGTTCTATCACCTTCCCCTCCTTAAAAACAGGTCTGACTGAAAGCGTTGAAATGGGTGCACATTAATTTACTTTTGTAAATGTGAATTAATTATATCTTAGGTTGGCTGAGTTTTCTATAGTGATGTTAGCATGAATCTACACGTAAACCTGTCTATTATAAGGTCTATATGGAACATTGAGTCACATGGAATCCGCCTGGTGTCCCTCCGGGGGCTACTGCTGGTCCCAAGCCCGGATAAAGGGGGAGGGTTGGGCATGGAGTTAGCGACCCCATCCCGTAGAAAACTAACTCCCTAAAAAAAACGCTATCCATTAGATATCGTTAAGTTTAATTTTAAATTTATTTAATAAATTTAATAAAATAGTTATAAGTAAAGAGAATTATTTAGACGAAACGAAACATCGACGATGATCTGTGTGATACATCAGTTATTTATGTTTTGAGATTAACACTTTTACCTGTATAGATAACAATGTCTTATCGATTATCAGCTCCAATGGAATTATGGAGAACAAATAAAGATTTGACATGTGCAATGTGATAGTCATTTAGAAGTTTTATATAACAGACTGAATAATTTCATTACTAAACAATTCTTATAACTGAAAGATGATTTCACCGTAATTTTGGGTGGATTAAGAATAAAAATTGTTAATTACACTAAGGGTCTGTTCGATTCTAAAAGCTAGTGTATTTTATAGTGTGATTTAATCATCAGCTGTGATTTACTTTAAGGATTAATCAAACAGGACTGGAAAGCTGTTTCTCATGTTCACAACTGGTCTGTACTGATGTATAGTTCGATGATGGAAAATCAGCTAACTGATGACTTCACCTGTCTAGGTAATCTCATTACCCGTCATGTGTTGGTGATTAATGAAATGTTGCTACTCATTTTGAAAGTTAATTTGACCCGGATACAGGTTTTCTGCTTGAATCACATATGATAATCAGAATCAATAAGTGAGAAGACACGATTCAAAATCGGTTACAGTGGAGCCGATATATTCTTTCTTTCATTCTTTCTATTTTCAAACTAAGTTTTAATATTATTCTTATTTTTTATTTGTAGTCATTCTTTTCAGGTTGTACTCCCTGACAAGTCTTTTACTATCATTGAAACTATGGCTCGTTTTGATCTTGTTACTTCTTTGTCTCAAATCGTGTGATAGATAGATTTTTTCTCGGTTAATATATGCAAGTTAAATTAGAAGTATTCGAATACAAATGGCATGGTTACTTAAGCACAAAACTACCTGTCGTCAATAATGAATATATGTCATATTGAATTGTTAATCTACCAAAAATGTTATTTATAATGTTATAATAATTTTACAACTGCGATACAAAAACATCAATTCTTTATAAGATAGTTCCACAGGTTACGAATTCTCGATTTTTTCCCACTACATGATATTAGTTGCAGATTAATTTTAGTTTTAGTACTAAACCATAACAGTCAACTTGTTAATGATTACACTACAAGAAATTCTTTATGTTCTAGTGACAAATTTGTGACGGAGTTCAGACATGTCGGGAGTGAAATATTTGTCTGTTGGTTAGTGGTTTCATTATATCGAAAATTGATTAAAGCTGAAATTGTACTATTGAACACGGACCCCAGTGATTTTGATAGTTAAAGGTTCGTAACGAGACCAGAAAACCCTAATGGGGGTCATGAGTTCATAGTGTTTAGTAATCCCAAAGTTGAACGAAACACTTGTCTGATGCTGCCTGGTTTTAACTGATATCCCGATTGTGATCAAACTGTGATGCATACAACCCATGAAATTAAAGAAATCACTGTTTATATGCTTTTTCTCAATCATGTACCAGTTAAACTTTCAGTGTCCATATAATATTTATAATTTTGTTGAAATTCAACCGTCACTAGTTTACCGTGCCTTAATGTTTTTGTTTTTATTCCTCTTTCATTTCAGTCACTAGATTGGGAATGTGTAAAGGTCATTTTTTTGATCTCTTATCCTAGTCCCTTCCCAGAATACGACAGTATTAAAACACTTTCTGTATCAACTGAGGTATGTTGAAATAAACTGATTAGTTAAATTATCATTAGTATTAATGTCTTTTTTCATACACTAATGTTTTAGTGGATGTTTTAATTATAAAAACTATTCATAATGAAGCAGGTACAGTATGACTAACGTATTTAACGTGACATTTTGGTGTTCTTAACTTTCTTTGTATAACTCTAAATTTTAATGCTTCAGTGTTATGTGTTAATTTGTTAAAATTCAAGGCCCATAACCTTTAATTCTTTAATGGTTTATATTTAAAATGTAACAAATAAACAGAGTTCTCATCTCACTACCACAAATAACGTAGGGTATTTTTACTCCATGGGTGTTTTCATAATTCCAAGAAAAATGTATAAGCGGAGTAATATGGCGACGAAATCGTGTAAGGAGACAGAGAGAGGGAGATGGAAAGAGATAGGAAGTTCAGTAATGCAATTCATAGCGTGAGAATAATAAGGAGATAGTCAGAAGCTACAAAATCTGCCGTATTGATAATGATATTGATATCACTTTTGTCTGCGTGTAGCATTTCCGCAGAAACGGAAAAGGAAAGATTACTTTTTCTTGTTGTCAAGGATTTAAAAAGTACGCATACACGGTGATGTAGTACTTGTTTTTTTAGTCGATTGTAGGATTAACATATATATATATATATATATATATATATATATATATCATAGGGTTTTGGAGATTGTTGAGTTTGATGGAAATCATGAACCGATCAATGTTAGACTACCATTGAAGACCTGGAAGCACTAGACGGCCGTTTTGTCCTAGCGTGGGACTCCTCGGGAGTGCACACCCAGGACCTCGTAATCGGTACTCGGATGCAAACTCTTAAGCTCCAGATCACTGAGACGGGATTTATTTATGATAGTGACAGCTGATGGCTATTATTCATTGGGGTTTATCCTATTGTTAAATTATTTGTCTATCAAAAACCTCATATAATCCAATTTGATGAGGTTGTTTATGGTGTTTTTTTAGATTTAAAACTTTATTTAGCAATTGGTACTTGAAAAAACCTTTTCGAAATCTGGATAAAAGGTTTTTACCATTGGATTATAAATTGATGTGAGTTATCTTTAAAGTTGGGAAATATCAAAAAAAGATCGTTCAGATGCAGTCCTTGGCTTTAACAATGGGAAGATTCAAATCGTTAAAGCTGAATTATGATTCGGATTATATGCACAAGCCGATGGCTATATGGACTCAGCTAAGTTGATAACAGCCTGGACGTTTGTAGCTTAAAAGTGCTAGATTCGTGTCTCAGAGCGAACATCAACAGGTAGGTGCAGATATATATCCAGCTGACGATTCGTAAGTAGGATTCCACTGCTAGTCACTATTCGAATATGTTGAAAATAACATGGTATACTCTACTGATATTGTCTTCTTTCTTTTTTCATTCGATGCTTATATAGATGTTGAAATTTTTATGTGATGCATCAAAACTCATATCAACTAGTGAATCTAAGAAAATTTTACCAAAAAGTGAAATAGACATGATAATTCAATCAAAGGTGAAAGATACTCAACATTTACCATCTGTTCCTAAAGGATTAAGGTTAGTGGTAATAATTTTGAGTACTATTTATTACTGACTTATTTCATTACAGTTTATCGTTATCTTAATGTAATTTGTAAATAGCTAAATTTGTTAAAAGTTGCAATAGTATGTGCTTTTCTGTTGGGATTTATGAAACCAACTGAAACGGCAATACGAGTCCCATGCAGTTGTTCATTGGATGATTTCACAACTTTTAGAGAACCTTCAAGGTTTGAAAAGTGATAATCCTCATTATCAGTAGACTTGTCGTATCGTAAGACAAATTACTCATTTCATCGGATAATCGTAGTACCTATCAACTATAAATTGACTGAAGTTATGAATTCTGACCTTTATATCTCGAGTTATTGATCTTGAATTACCGTGTTCACCACCTGCGAGGTTTGAATGTCATGAATTAGATTCTGTTTGAGGCTCCTGGATTTTCATTACTTTATGGTCTTAAACTAGTACAAAAGCGTTGTTTATATTATTATTTGCATAGGTTTGAATCATCTCGTTGCAAATACTGAAGACAGAATTTGTTTGTTGGCTTTCTGTATGCATCCAGGGCGGATTGCCTCGATATCACCACTTTGTCACAAGTTTGAGTATTTACCCTTAGGATAGCTCAAACACTTTAATAATTATATAGACGTCAGACCATTTTTTGTGTGGAAAAACTTAGTGACTATCTGGATTCATTAGTTTAAGGTATAACACATTGACAATTGATTTTAGTCCCAATGTGATCATTAATACTACATATCACAAATAGAACTAGACAGTATTCTGGATTCCACTGGTAGCCATAATCCATCTATTCCAAAAATAATCATTGTTTAAGAGATTATACAGTTGGAATATTTTTTCTTTATTAATAAACCTTATCCTCATTTTTTTAAAATTTATGTCTTATACTTCTAGTTTTCTGACCAAATCTATGTACTATTTAATCGCTGATCACTATATGAAAAATAATCATTTTGAGTAAGTTGTATTTTGTTCTTCTTCATTAAACTCTTTTTTAATTGTTACTTATTACACGTTGATAAGCGAGTATGGGTTAAGGGTGATAGTTATTAGGTCTTACATTTATGGGGTTACTTTTCTGGTAATAGGTACAGTATAATCTTTTTTTAAAAAGATCTTTACATGATTCTTTCAATACATCTGACTACCTATCCAACCTTCTCGGAAATGCTTAGTTAACTCACTAACCAAGTAGAAGTTGATGTATCGAGCCTTAAGCCAAACTGTATTGTGCTGAGGTCCGATGATGTTATCTGGCTTCATGAATTTAATGGATATATATTTTTGTACTGTATCCAAGATCTACCATTAGTATTGTGTGTATTGTTGAATACCTATTCAGATCATATTGAACCATGAAAGATTGGTTTAGTAATTCATAAATTCAAACAAATCGTTTTCCTAAACCTAATATTGGTCATTTGGTGGCCCACGTATTACTCAAAAATGGTTCTTTGCCATTTCGATATCAATTTTTGTTGTTGTGCAGTCAAATATGAAGCGTTTTTGCGCATTACACTCAACTTCTGTCGTATTTATGAATTTTCGAACACCTATCACTAGTAAATAAATAGAGAGACTATCGAGAGACCTCTGTGTTATGTGGAATCAGCGGCTATTCGCTACCTAAACCCCAATTTCTGTATACAAAAAGAGCTTGTGGTTCACCTGGTTCTATCATGCTGACTGACTCACTTTCTCCCTTCCTTGGATTTATTTTCTTGGATTTGTTTCATTGATCTCATCTTTATTTCACCACATTAACACTTTCATTGTTAATATTATCCAATTTCTCATTTCTATTTTGTGGCTGTTTTAACTAATCTTGTTATTTTAAGATTATTTGATTTGAACATCTAAGTACTTCGGTTTTCTCTTATACTCATTTAAACTATTATCGGCATTAATGAAAGTACGTTACCGTTGGTTTTTGGTGGTCGTTATCAGTTTCACCATGTTTATCTTTTGTAATCATGAAAATTTGCAAATGTTTCTTACATTCGATTGACTATCTTCGCTATCCCGTCATTTTTACTTCCAAATGTCCTGGTACGGTCGAGTGTGCGGAGAGTCAGCTCTTCCTTTCGTAATGCTCTCAAGTGGTCTTGCATACACATTCACTCCTAAGGAAGTCCTACTCGCTGTCTTCTCACGGCAGGAGTGTTGTTTACGAAATTTAGAGAACGAAATGCGAATGTCCGACTCTCAAACTGGGTTGGTGGGTACGTAAGATTACCTCGAGGACCTCATAGTAAACTACGTGTTACACATGAAATTACCATTGTAACAGATTTGTTTCTTTATACCGATCAGTGCGTGTGTTAATGTATTGAAGTACATAATCAGATGGGATGAATTCACTTTATTTCATGTTGTTCATTATTTTTGCTTTATAATGGATCATTGTATCATGATTTGTAACTTTGTAAGAACCTTTTATTTGTACACAAGATCCCCTCAATGTTTCTTTTATAAACAGTATCTTGCTGGAATTGCCTTGTGGATCAGATCTTTAGGTCGAAGGCTCCGGGTGTGGCCCCCTAAGAAAACCACCTGCTTCAGTTTGGGCACCCGGGCAGTATCACAGCCCTCACACAAATCAAATGAGATTTGTGTGGCACATATTTATCTGGTGCCCCTTGTACCAATATTTGTGTGTTCAAATAAACCAATAAAATGCTGGAATTTACTTGGTACTGGATTTGCCATTTTGTTTTATTTGGCAATTTGTTTCTTTCCATTCGATTGAATACAAATTATACTTTCTTCGTTAAATATTTACAAACAAAATACCATTATTCGTTAAAGCATGAATTGATCAGTCGATATTTGTTACTTTTGTGTTTTCTGTTTTTATCTAGTCGTGCTGTGGAGTATTACTTACAAGATTTGTGTGTTTCTCCACAACGTGTAGATACATGGGCTTCATTGGGTTTGATTTATTCAAGTGAATTGGAACAAGTTTTAAATTTGGTAATCATACTGGTTTTTATCATCTGTTTTCTCTATAAAATAATTGATATTTGTTAGTTAGTTTACTGCATAGTTTTGGCTTTTTTTAGTGTTGTTAGTCGTGTACAGATCATACAAAATTTCTTATTTGGTTGGTTAATTAATTTGAGCCTATCGTTTAATTGATAGTTTAGGTCAACATTGTTTAACTGCAACGGAATAATAACTTAGTTAACTCAGTTGGTAGAAGAAGACCGTTTGTATGCTACCGTGGTTCAGGTTCTGTTATAACTCTCCTTATTTAAAACTCGTTTACAAGAATCAGTTTCTTAATGAAAGCTATTTCAGGTGGTTTCGTCGAAAGTTAATTCCGTTAATTGTTTATGTCAGGAACTCCCTCTTAGTTTATTTATCAGTTTTATTGTATCAAATTTCTACGAAGTTACTAAGTTCAATGAATGTTATATACTTGCTAGTTGCATAATGAGATGCGATGTGGTATGACAAAAATGAAGTAGGATTTGTTTACATTCGATAATAAATACGACTTAATTACGTCCAGTAGGATAAGCATGATTTGACACTAGATTAAAAGATTTATAGCTAGACTGGACACTTGTTTGACACATCAGATCATTATATAAATTAATTGAAATCAAATACACAAAGTTCGAGTAGCAATTGAGAATCCTCTATAAGCCAGAACAATATTTTTTTTAACACAGTCTACTTACAGTCCATACAGAATAAAATCCGAATTGAATTAATAATGGAAAGAATTTACATTACCTAGTCTCATATATTTAGTGTAGCTGGATGTATCTATCTTCGCTCACTAGCCAATTACATCTTACTTTTATCATGAACCGATCAATGCTGGGTCACCATTGAGAACCTAGAAGCACTGGACGACCGTTTCGTCCCAGTATAGAACTCCCCAGAGGTGCGCACGCACCGTCCTGCATGCAGGATTTGAACCCAGGACTCTCGGTCTTGCGCGCAAGTGCTTAACGTCTAGACCACTGATCTGGCATCTGACGGTGTTAATGTCTATCGTCATCCAGTCCACGATGTTGCGCGACTTTTTCCACTGTCTTCGATGGGTAACTATCGACACCGTAGAACTCTACTGATCACGGTAAGACCGAGGGTGCTGGGTTCGAATCCCAGGTGCGGGATTATGGATGCGCACTTCCGGGGAGTTCTGTACTGGGACGAAACGGTCGTCCAGTGCCTCAAGGTTTTCAATGGTAGTCTAACATTGATTGGTTCGTGATTTCAAGGAAACTCAACAATCTTCATAACTTTATAGTGATAATAATGCAAATCTAAAGTGCTTTTTCTACTCAGTAGTTTACAGAATGAGAAAAATAATAGTGTTTATAACTATTAGATTATTTGTGTAGCATTATATCATTTAAAAGAAAATAACACAAATTAAATAGTACTTCACTGTTGAACTAAGCTATCAGTAGTTATACTCTTATGTAACACTCTGTTAGACAATTCGTTATATGACAGATGTTGAAACTGTGGATCTGAAGGTCATATGTGCGCAATGCTGAATCAGTCACTCTACAGTCGTTTTTCATCGACAATTACTTTTTCTTTATCATGATTGTTATGAAGCGAAAGTTTCATGAAATCATTTATTTAGTTGAGGTTTCTCATCAACAAAGAAAATTAACGTATTTTAAAATCCAAAATATTATCAAAATAAAAATCACTTTTTACTTTTATTTCACTTAATTGCATTCATTATAAAGTATCAATGCATCACTGTCTTGGAAATGTTTCCTAATTGAAAAAAATTTAATAAATAATGGTAGTGGTGTTGTATTGCTTGAAAACTCATTTCTTTCTTAATTTTCATATTTTAGACTAATCTTAAAACTGAACGAGTTTCTGCTGAAGCTGTTACACGTTGTTTACGTTGTTTTAATGTTGCATTACACTTACAACCTGATACTGTCACATTATTAATTGAACGTGGTTGCTTAGCCTATCAATTGCATTCATATGGTGCTAGAATTGTGAAAAAAGTATGTTTAATATCGATCTTATTGTTTATTTAAACGTAAACATTGATATAAGAAGACACCAGGTGTATATGCTCCACACTTTGTCATTCGATTTTTGTGTGGTCTGGGATACTCCGTAGTCCCCTAAACTGGGGGGGTAGTTTTACTAGGGGGTCACCCCCCGAACCTTTGATCTAGAGACCTAATCCACAAGGCAACGGGATAATGTTAGGAGATGCAGTCTCATGGTAGTCGGTGACCAAAAATAGATTCGTGAGCCATTTATCCCTTCAGAATTCTGAGGCCCATGCTCACCTTGTTGGAACCAGTATTTTTCAACCCTCGTAAATGCACGCTAACCCGACTGAAGCGCCGGACATTCGCTTTTCGTAGACAGTAGCTCTGACGCAAGAAGGTAGTGAGTAGGACGTACCTGGTGGTTATACTCGTGGCCATACGAGGGCATTTCGAAAGGGAAAGCGTCCAGCCTCGGCCGTACAAGGGCATTCAGTTGTAATAGGGTTCGTCTGCGCGTATACAAATTTTCTGCACATAATTTACATCTGTATATTCATTAGTTTGACTTATATTACTGTACGAATTATGTCAATAATACAACAAAAATCTTTTCAGCATGCATTCAAACTATATTTATTCAAAAAATATATTTTATAAAGAAAGTATTTCTCACAGTTATCATATGTTACCTCTCTTTAATCATGAAAGTTTTCTACCCGTTTATTTGCTACAAGTACTTTCCCTCACCTGTCATAAATTACACACATTGCAATATATTTACTTCTCTCTTTTTTCCTCAAAGAACAGAAAATATTTCATCAACTGGGTTGCTAATTCACTAGGGTTTCCCCGCGTATGTTCGAATCCCACCTCCGTGGCCAATCTGTTGTGACTTTGAGTCCGGCTAGTTATCACGTAATTTATTCGCCAATCGAAATACGACTTGTTCACTCTTGTACTGTGCTAAACCAATGACGTTCAACTGATCTGAGCAGCCTTTGTTCGCCTAACCCATCCAACTGAAACCAGAATACCAATAACAGCTTCCGCTTTGCGACTCCTTTATTTCAAACATACTTGTTTTGTATACCAACCAAACAGACTGCATTGCACCATAAAATAGGACATAACATTTATAGAAGATTTAGCCAAAATGTGGCTGTGAACATGGGAGACAGTAATCAATAAACTGGACATAACTTAAGAACAGTAAATCTTAATAATAATCTATAGGTCAAAATGAAGCTTATAATAAGAGGAATATAGATATACATAATCTAGTCACTGACTAGTTATAGAATAGGTATATATATATATATATATATATATATATATATATATATATATATATATATATATATATATATATATATATATATATATATATATATATATATATCAGCCCATTAATAATTCTGAGAAGTTACTCGTAATTTAACTTCGATAGGATATAACAAACTGCGATATTTTCGTCTCAGTTTGCCAGTATTTTATATCACAATAATTCGTAAAAATTTTAATAATAGCGCGTGCATTGATACATTTAGCACTCATAGTTATTCAGTTCAAACAAAGAACGTTTTCCTGATAATAACAGGTTCATGAAAATTTTACGAGGTTGATTAATAATTTCCAGCATGGATTAGTGGATTAAGTAACACTACTCATGTAGAATCATTAAAAAGGTCAATTCAGTACAACAGAATATTCTAAAAAATGGTTGGAGAAGATTTTTAGCGTAGGTCAATGATTTAGTTGGAGTTTCATTCTCTGAGCTGGATGGTTTGGTCACGGAGCTTTCATTATTTTTCTGAACAACTTCATCAACATAAACTTCAGGTAGTTTGTGAAGTTTGTGTTTATGATGTTGTTCAGAAGAACAATGAAAGGCGCACGACCATCCAGCTCAGAAAAAAACCCCTACCTAAACATTCAAAACATATTTAGCGATAAGTTATTAAAGAATTTTATATGATAGAACTGTGTGATAAATTTGGAGTTTTTATAAAGTACTCGAAAACAGGTGATATGGTAGCAATTTTGACGTTGGCGAGTGCATATATTGTCCAAGTTTGAATAGACATGGTCCAAATCTGAAACAGGTTATAAGTGTAATATTCGTATATTGGGAAATATGTAGCGTAAGGGTTTTTTGAACTGATGATAGTGAAATGTATTTTTATGCGTAATACAATACATGATTATATAATCGATTTTAATACTAAACAGAATCATTTTGTCCTTATTTTGATTTTTTTCTCTCTGCCATTGCCTCATTTCCTATTTTGGCATGACTTTTCAGTCAGAATATAGGAATTTTCCAGATGCTCACTTGAATCTCTGTCGTAAATGGCGTTATCGAATGTTACAATTAGCCCGTTCATCTTATGAAAGTGTACTAAATTTATGCAATATTATAAAACATCAACAAACCACTACAACGACTATTACACAAGAAATAACAACAAATGATACAATGAATAAAAATGAACATTTAATTACTAGATTAGAAAGTCACTTGTCTGACAATAGTAATAATACAAACAAATTAGTTCAACAGAGTAAAGAAGAAGAAGAAGCATGGTTATGTCATTATATGTTAGCGAAATGCGCTGAGAAAGATGTACAACTTATGCAACAATCTGGTGATACACATTCATCAGTTTCATCCAAGTCATCCTCATCTTCACGATCTTGTTTAATGCATGTTCTACGTTTATATCATGAATCATTGAAAGCGTTAGATTTAGCTGGTGCAAAATATCCGAAAAAAATTATCGTTTATAATAAGATACCTTTTAGAGCTGTCGAAGCAATTGAAGTATGTATTTACTGCAGTTTTTTTAAAATTTTACTCTTTATGAAGTTAATTGTTGTTAAAGCGCTAGCCCTGTGGTTAAATTGTTCAGTTTCCAATCAACCCAAATGCATACCACCTACCTTGGTTTGGGCAATTAGATAATATTACTGGCTTAAAGCTTAGTACACCAATCTGTATCTGGCAAATAGATTGCTAAAATAAAGTACTGCCTGTTAATAATAGTAATGATAATAACTACGGCGAATAAATTATATTCAAGTCAACAAATATTGTCTTACTTTTTAAGCAGAGGTGAATGGTGGTTAGCAGTGAAAACTAAGACGCGCGTTTCGTTTCATATGAGACTAGTCAACTGGGATTGCTTGCTTATGTTACTTCCTGGATTCCACTGCTAGTCATCATCCATCTCTTCTTTAAAAGAAATATGAAAATGTTTGTTGACTTGAATATATATAAAATCATCTTGAATTGGTGGCATTATCGAATCAATTCGCACATGAGTACATATACCAATGAGACTGAACAATTACAGTCCTATACGTCAATGAGAAGATTCAAACCATAAATACGTACTTAATATTTGCATATATTTGTACACACTACTTGCTCTATTATCTATTTGAATATGTAGTGAATGATGTTATAACTGAATGTTGTTTATTGTTATTAAGTAATCTAAAGTTATTTATCAGTTTTATCCGTTTGTTTATATTCTCTACTCATATTTAATATGCCAGAAATTAGAGTAATATTACTAACATTATTTTCAAAAAGCCAGCCTTTACAAATTTAACTTGTTAAACATCCTACTAGTGCTCTTGTTGTTCAATCCTATTAGTCTCGATAAAATTGGTATCAAAAAATCTCTTCAGTGTCCATATCAACAATCCGATTAGTTCATATATCTAGTATCCCTTTAAGTACTCCGCTTCCTTCGACTCTCTCATAATTAGAAAAAAATGTGGAGATGAACATTGTATGATTCCATTTAATCTAAAGAACAAAGTAGATACAATAGTAAAAATATTGGAATTTATATAAAATGCATGTAAACCCTTTCTCGTATCTTTTTCACTTATCTATTAGCGCTGATTTATTTATTTATTATTATTATTTGAACACATAAATATCGGTACAAGAGGGCACCAAGTATAAATGCGCCACACCACATTTGGTGTGTGTGTGTGTGTGGGCTGTGATACTGCCCGGGTGCCCAGACCGAAGCAGGTAAAGTTGTATATGATAGATATTTTAAATGATTATTTTGTAAATAACTATCTTAATATGATATTTAATTTTTCCCCTTAGGTTTATTACAGAATTCATGCATTATCTCTTAAAACATTATTAAAGCATGGACCACCTACTACTACTACTGTTACTAATCAATCTTCACAATCGACTTATTCTATTTATCCAATTAATTTAATAGAATTAGACCAATTTCTGACTATGATTGATTTATCTGATTTTGTTACAAGTGCAAAAAAGCCATGGTAATTTATAAGTGTTTCTGGGATTTTAAATTACTTCATTAAATTGTGCTTATTTATGTTTGAAGTTTATTATATATAAAATTTGAAAATCTCCACAATACATGATAATTATCATGTGTTCCGTAGATAATAGCTTCAAGATACGATTCTTGGAGTGAAAACTCGTGACCAGTGAAGTTCAACCGGGTCGGAAGGTACTTAAGATCCACCTCATGAATTTGGAAATAAATGAACTACTGTTCTCCCATTGTTGAGGTAGTTGATTATAGATCCTTTCCACTTCATTCATTTGTAACACATCCCAGCCAACTAAATGGAGTCGGTTCATTTCGAGGTATAATTTCAATAATTGGTGAAATACATACATATATTCAATATATCCTTACAAGAACATATTCACACTGTAGGTTGATCGAAATAAAATTTATTTCATTTCGAAATCAATCAGCAAATTTCAAGTGTCGTATAGTTACACAACAGTGACTGTTTTGAAAATCTACGTTTGTTCACAAACCATGTTTTGTGTACAAAAAGTTATCATCCCAAAAGTGTTCACTCGTAACAATTGCGACCCATAATTCGCTATTTCTTTTAGGATCTTCGAGTTCATTCACATCATATTGGCTCGGGATGGGATTTCTACGAGAGCTTTTCAGGTAGATTTGTTAGGCTTAGCGTCCACCATTTGCTATTACTTTGATTCTTTTAAGAAACCCTTTTTTTAACGCGATGACAGTCAATGTAACCTCTCTTATATTGACGTCATACAATTCGTCTTGAATAACGCACAGACCATACTTTTATTTTTAGTACTTTAATATACTATATCTTTTAAGCGACTAAATATAATCACCTCCTGTATTCTATTGTATATGGGAACATAGTCAGATGCTTTTATTGCGTAATCTAATGTTAAAATTTGTAGACTAGCATGTACTATGCTTTCTGTTTTTTTTCCAGTCGTAGAACTCGTAAACGAACAGCCAATATGGCAGGATTATCTACTAAACACAATCAACTTCAAAAATCAACTAATCAACTTGGATCTTGTGAAAATCACAACAAACAAATAGGAACAAATGAAACTAATATCAAAGAATCTAGTGCAGATAAATTGGTTCAACCATTAGATATTAAACTTTACCCAAATACCATTCCATCACAAGATGAGTTTATTGATCTCATTTCACCTGATCCACATATAGTAGTTGATGAAGAGGAATCTACAAACTTACTGGAACCATCATCATCACGTTCATCGATTAACGAATGTGTCAATAAGCTAGGTAAGCGTTTTCTCTTCGGAAGTATCTACATTTTACTTATCTATTTGTCATTATCATCATCATTGTTAATGTTTTCATGTTTTTTTCTATTTTATGGTTGATTATTTCAAGTCTAACACTATTCAATCGATCGTTGTGTTGTTGCGTTTTTCACTTTAAAATCTTATCTATAGTTCTGCAAGTGGTGATAATCTCTCTAGATCTCCACAGATCATATGTTATAAGTCCCCATATTTGTTCGCCACTCAGATTTCAATCATTTCAACCATTTTACAACACTTGTAATCATAACAAGAAAGTGAATTGTCTATTTACTATTGAAGTTTGTAATAAATATTTCAGTCTCTATAAATATTTTAAATTAAGAAATGAAGTTATTCTTATGAGCGAAAATGAATGGTAGTTAGCAGTGGAATCCACGACGCGCGTTTCCTCCTATTTGAGACTCGTCAGCTGGATGTACCTGCATCTCAGAGTTGATGTTCACTTCGGAACTCGGACTTAACGAACACTAACTCTGAAATGCAGGAACACTTAGCTGACAAGTCTCAAATAGAACGGAACACGCGTCTTGGATTCCAATGCTAGCCACCATCCATCTTTGGTTATAATGCTTGTGACTCAAGGTAATACCGAGGCAATCTGCGCAGGATGCATATATGCTAATAAGGGATTGATCAATAGCAGTCCTAAACATCAATGGGAAGATTCAAACAAACAATGAAAAAAATGAATTAACGTTATTTTTGTCTTATTAATCAGCGGAGAATTAGTGAAAAATATAGTGAGCTACCTTATGAGTAGAATTGTTAATATATTCAGCATAGATTATCCCTAATAAAATGTTGACATACTAATCATAAACCACTTTGTTCACACTTTATGTTTCGAAAAACACATACTATTTACAATTTTAGTATTGTTGAGCTCTTAAACGATAGACAGTTTTATTCAGAGACTCTAATTATCATTCTGAATAAAATTTTCAGCAAGTAGTCGATGTAAAAAATCTATTTAAACTATGAATTCGTTGCTTTCAACTGTTCGTTGTAAATGTTAATGTATAACAGATTCTGTTTTTGTTTTCTTACTTCTGTTCAATAATTTTAACTGTTTAAGGTTTATGGAAAAAGTGTATTGATCGTTGCCGTTGTGCTTTAGAATTGGTACTTCAAAGATTACCACTTCATTATAAAGCAATGTATCGACTAGCCTCTCTATATTTGCATGCTCCCCATTTAAAAGTAAGATAAATCTATTGTTTCTTGATGATATTATTATTTCGAAAATATATTTATTTATTCATTTGGTGTGAATTGAGTGATGAAGGTACATTTTCGTACATGTTCGTACTTTATTCAAGATAGATATTAAATTTAAAGCAATTAGTCCCTTTGATAAATTTCGATAGTGTTGTAATAAGAAGACGAAGATCATCAATACATTTCGAACAATCTGATGACATATAATGTACTTGTTATGAATATTTATTTATAAAAATAAAAGGTCAACTAGACTAGAAATGGAGGGTAAGAGGAGACAAGGACAATAATGGGAAGACAATTTAAAATCTCATCACTAGATAATAAGCTAATATTACCAGGGTAGGTTTAAGGTGAGAACAAACTGTTGTTGAATACACAGAGGAGGTTTGCATTTTCGTATGGCTAAGGCTTCAATAAACCTTAGTATACGTCCTTTTATACTTTTGTACAACACCACAAAAGCCGAGTTAAGATCAATCTTGTGACCTGTTTCATTGATTAAATTGATGTATTTACTGTTTGTTTTAAGTCATAGAATTTATTCATTGTAGGTGTTATTTTTATTCGTAAGCTTTAAATTGACATTTCATCAACATCTTTCGATACACATGGTCAAATATAATCTTACATTCTTTAAGGTTTATATGTTTACATATTTGGAAAACAATAATAATAATAATTACAGAATTCATGATAGTTTACAAGCATAGTCACCTTGATATACTACTAATAATACTATATACTAATTACGCCTGTTACTCCTCGTGAAGGAGCATAGGCCGCTCACCAGCATTCTCCTTCCAACCCTGTCCTGGGCAATCCTTTCTATATCCTTCCAGTTGTGATTCGTCTTTTTCATATCTGCTTCTACTTCCCGACGTAATGTGTTCTTTGGTCTTCCTCTTTTACACTTCCTTCAGGATTCCAAGTTAGGGCTTGCCTCGTGATGCAGTTTGACGATTTGCGTAATGTATGTCCTATCCATTTCCATCGTCTTTTCCCAATTTCTTCTTCAGCTGGAAGCTGGTTTGTTCTCTCCCACAGAAGGCTGTTGCTGATGGTATCTGGCCAATGGATGTTGAGTATCTTGCGTAGACAGCTATTTATAAATACTTGTACCTTCTTGATGGTGGTTGTTGTAGTTCTCCAAGTTTCAGCTCCATACAGTAGAACTGTCTTGACGTTTGTATTGAAGATTCTCACTTTGATATTAGTTGGAAGTTGTTTTGAGTTCCATATGTTCTTCAATTGTAGGAATGCGACCCTTGCTTTGCCAATCCTTGCCTTTACGTCTGCATCTGAACCTCCTTGTTCATCGATGATGCTTTCCAGGTATGTGAAGGATTCTACATTTTCCAGAGTTTCGCCATCAAGAGTGATTGGATTGCTGTTCTCCGCTTTGAATTTGAGGACCTTGGTTTTCCCTTTGTGTATGCTGAGGCCTACTGATGCAGAGACTGCTGCCACACTGTCTGTCTTTATCTGCATTTGTTTGTGTGTGTGCGATAGGAGAGCTAGGTCATCTGCGAAGTCTAAATCGTCTAGTTGGTTCTGAGCTGTACATTGTATTCCATGTTTTCCCTCAGATGTCGAGGTCTTCATAATCCAATCTATCACCAGAAGAAAGCGGAAGGGATAGAGTAGACAGCCTTGTCTTACTCCGGTCCTTACTTGGAATGCATCTGTCAGCTGTCCTCCATGCACTAGTTTGCACTGTAGTCCGTCGTACGAGTTCCGGATAATATTGACAATCTTCTCGGGAACTCCATAGTGTCGAAGAAGTTTCCATAACGTCCTCCTATCCACACTGTCAAATGCCTTTTCATAATCAATCACCTTGATATAGATAGGAATATTAAATGTAGGGGATATATGTGATAGTAAATTGCTTGAAGTGTTCTTCCTCAAAAATTGTTTATGTATTACATTTTTCACATGTATTACAGTAATTCAAGGCATCAATCTGAAACTATTAATTCTTTTTAAGTAAACATTTTGTTGATATATGACCGATTCATTTAAGGTCATTGCAGTCCCATAAGGGAGTGATTATAACCACCTAAATCTAGGGGGGAATAAAACAGTAACAGAAAGCATGAAACAATAAAAGTAATAATAACAAATCATTCAGTCACATCTACATTAATACATGTGCTAGGTTATTTTGTGGTCTATTTGGGTTAGATATTATTCAGATTAGTTCAGGTTATCAGGGGTGATGTCGATGTTAAGTATCAACAGGTGGAAAGGTTTAATTATAATATAACGGTTGGTTTTCCACACTTACACGTATGGGACGTTAATTTATTGCATAGTAGACATCTCAGGATTAACACTTTCTATTTTATTGTACTAAGAATTATAGATTAATACGCTGTAATTAATAAAAATTTGTTTATTTCAAACATGGTTATCACTGAAAAGTGTTCATTTAGATTTATACATGTAGACTTTGATGAGAAGCTATTGAAAAGAATTTCCTTCGTTCGAATATCAGTGTCGTAATGTATTGAGAAGATAATCATCAAAATATATACTTATTTACAATTGATTGATCACTGGGTGATGTTCAATGTCAAGTATGTCAGATCCTTCTTAGTGCAGATTGAATCCTATCGACCATGTTGCAATGTGGCCACCAGTCTAGGTGACTTGACATTGCGTGCACTATGTTGAGATAAGATGGTGGATGGAGGTAGTGAATAAGAAACTCTGGACCTAGATTTCATGCTAATTGGCACTCGTCAGCCAAGTAGCACAAAACCAAGGTCCAGAATTTCTTGGACGAATATCTACACTAGATTCCCCCGCAGCGTTTATTCTACAGGACTTCGACACAACTCAGATCAAGAACATGCGATTAGCCTGACCAGAACGTAAATATATTTCCATACAAAAAAAACCCGACACAATCCAACAACAATGAACAATCAATAATGTTAATAGTAATAATAAGGATAGGGGAATATATAACTCATCTAATACCTGCCAGATTATCTGCATGTCTGACTAAGCAAACAAACAATCCTTATCACTCTCTCCCACACATCCAATTGGTGTGCTCATTAATAAAAACGATTAAAATCCTTAAGTTCCTGTAATTTCAAAAAGGTATTTTCATGGGACAATTAAACATCGATGCACCGAACAGAGAATGGAAGCAATTTTATGTCACGTATAGTTTGTGATAAATTATTCCAGAGTCTAGAAAATTTACTGGTAAAGTAATTCATATAGAGAGAGGATTTAGAATAAAACAAGGAGTTCATAAATAATGAACTTATCATCCTAACTAATTTTTAAATAGATGCGATTTAAATTTATAGAAATTATTGAACAAATGCTTTGTTAATATATTTCGATTTACTTGTATTACTGTGTTATGATTGCTTCCACGTTATAGGATCCTTGTAAAGCATTGGATATATTATTAGGACCAACAGATGAATCTCAAAAACATTTGGCATCTACTCATACTAACACTTTGAACGACAACAATAATGTTAACACTACAACTGCATCTACTCATTTGAATATTGGAGGTTTATTCAAAGATAGGAAGCAGAATAACTTTTTCTATGTATGTTATTATTATTATTATTATTATTCACTTGTTATCCGTATTATGTAGAATATTTTTAATTGCATTTAGATTATTATTATTATTTGTGGAGGCCCTCTGGGTGACGCATAAGTGACCTTGGGAAAATCCACCTACGCACTAGGGTCTAAAGAGTGTTATAAATTGGCGTGAGAAATCAGAATAGGGATTTATGGTTAGGAATTAAAGTTCTGTTTTTCATCACGAACTGACATCAGCTATAATACCACGATTCTATTTAGCTAAATGGTTGAATGGCATCACTCTCTCCCTTAAATCTTATTGGTTTGTCCATAAATTGTAATCTCACCACTGTTTCTTTTTCTTAGTTATTTGATTGATTTCATTTTTGTTGAAACATCCTATACAGACTACGAACAATGAAACCTTTTGTGTCATTTGGAAGTACATGATAAAATAATCAAATATCTACTTTCGTTATCGTACACTATAAATTAAGCGATGTGTCACTACGTTTGCTCAAATATTGCCCATTCCGACATGTCATACAAGCTTGTGTAAGAGTAAATTGGATTGAAGCTAGAGGTTGGTGGAACTAAGATATGGCATCAATGATGTTAGTAGGTAGGTTGACAGCTATTTAATTGGGTTTGGAGCGATAACCACGACTAGTAGTTGGAGAAGTTTGATGACGTGGTTTAGAATTCATCATTGTAGTTCAGTTGTATTTAGTCCTTATTTTATGATTGACTGAAGTCTTTTGATATTTATGAAGTCTTTGCTTGGAGATATGTGTGTATGTGTACTTCACAAGTATTTACATTTTGTTTACTGATAATATTATCCCAAAATGAGCACAAAATGTACGATGATTGATTGTGTTTGAATTTTTTTACAGGGTGTTTGGCGTATTCCAACGGCTGATATTGATCGAAGTGGTAATTTTGCAGCTCATATGTACCGTTCAGTTTGTTTAACCCTATCTCTACTTCATGATCATGGTGATTGGAGGCGTTTAGTGCAAATATTTCATCAATTAAGGAAACAACCTCCGGAAGAGAAGTTAGTTTTTATGAATGATTTCAACCTAATTTATTTCTTGTTTTTGCTGTCATCATCTATTGATGTTACCTAATATTAATAAGTAGTATAAACTAGAAGATAGAAAGTGGAAGATTCTCGTGAATGGGACAGAAAAATTTTCTTTATTGAATCACTCCTTCTCCTATATCTCAGGAAGTGCTTTTGGTCTGTTTGCAGGGCAGAATTTCGTCTTCCGACTTTCAGAAGGTTAAGCGAAACGAAGTTATGTGATAAACAGTTTTCATAACACGTCGTTGTCATTAGTAGAGCTGATATTGTTTCCATGGGCTTATCGTGTAATCCCGTAAAGATTCCGTATTATATCGGGAATAATTATGCATCCCATCCTCAATAACCATCAAGTTGATACTTACAATATCAGGATGATGCAATATCGCTTTTCGAACTACAAAGAAAGGTCAATAGCTGAATCTTTCCATATATTTCTTAACCTTGCTGACCTCACTTGAAATGAAGGGCTCACTATCCATCCGACTTCGATCATTTATCCTGACTAACATGTATGATTCTGTCCAAATTCTACACTATTATTATACGTACAAATTCAACCACGTCTTTTCACGTTATAAATTTCACATTTTTCACCCATTAACACATACACAAATACGGGACATATCCCACATAAATCAAATAACATTGACTTAGTCTGACCTTTTTTTCGATTAGTCGGACTAAATACTTTTGCTTTGCTCCCTTGTTCCTTATTTAAACTTTTTGTTGTTAATTTAATGAATTAATTTATTCTCTGAAGAAGTGGCTTACGCTAAGTCAAAAAACCCATTGGGATATTACAAAGAGAATATTGTTTATTAGTAACAATCTACCGAATGTTAAATATATTCGAGATTGTCACTTCAAACATAGTAATGATAATTACATCTTATGCTTACTAAGTTACTTTCATGAAGTCCTCGAAATTGGATCACTTTGAGATTATATCGTGGAATAAATGAAATTAAGATTATGAACTAATTATTCGTAACACAATGATTATTAAAGTAACCCAAATACTTCAGTGATTTATTCCTCATGGCATATTCGTTGTTGAAGATTGCTTAGAAGTTTCATATTGTGATGAGAAATCTGTCATTCGCCTCTATGGTACTGCGAATTATATATTGATCACTAACATATATCATCAAGAGAATTCCAATCATATTCAGATTATTAAAATAAATAGAATTAGTTATTTTCATTGTTTACATTGAATTAACTCACGTTCTGAATACTCACTCTTGATAAGATATAACTGAGATGACTCTTATCCAATATAATGGACTTTATGACTTAGATATTTATTAAATATCTTTGTCCATAGTATTGTGTTAAGATTGTTCTTTAGACTATTAAGCATAAAGAAAAGGAAAAAGCAACATCTTTTGTTGAAGCTACAAATAATCATACGTGTTTCCATTCAAAATTATAAACATTAATTAGGTACACGTGCTTAGTATTTCATAGTTCATCATTAGCTTAGTTATTATTTACAATTACAATGGTATTTATAATCATGATGATAATAGTACTAATTCTTGTGACTTTGTTTGACTCATATTTTTTATCTGTGTTTTCTTTTGTTTACATTTTAAATTAGGAGAGGATTTCTTGGTGAAGGTGATCGTGTTTATTTAGCTAGACGTGCATTCAATCTGATACAACCTACTTTGTTGAATTGGCTAACCCAATTATCATTATCATTAGCTAATAAAATTAGTGAACAAATTTCAAAAGATCATACGTTTGTATTTAGTTCTGATATTTCGTGTATAACTTCACAAGGTTTTTTAACTAATGAAATTTTAACACAAATCTATCGACTTCATTGTGTTTCATATTCACGTAATTCTTCATCTTCCTCGTGTTCTTCTTCTTCTACTACTACTAATACTACTTCTGGTGTATTAGATTCCACGTTGAATAGTCTAAATTCAAGTCTTTATTCCCCTACTACTACTAATAATGTAAGTAGTACGACCGCTAATACAACGACTATTTCTGGTACATCTACTCTTCTTGATGTAAATACTACATTAGCAGCTGAAATATCTGGTTATGCATCAGTTCTACAGTTAGCCTATCGATTATGTCCAACAGTTTGGGTTAGTTTAAAGATGTGATAAAATTTGTTTGTAATTTATTTACACTCTGTAGTCTTTTTTACGAATATTGTAGTTGTGACTCGGTTGATTATTATTATTAGAGAGAGAGAGAGAGAGAGAAAAGGAAAGAGTGAGTCTAAATTATGGAATAGTTTAGTGCAACTTTAGGGGATCATTTGATGAAATTGTCCACTAGATTCAGTGATTAACATTATTGGTGTTATTGAGTGAGAGAAAAGAAGAGAACAAACTTTAAAGTTTCATTCTGTTAATAAAGTTGTTTCGAACTTCGGTTAAATATCATAAAATATGACTATATTCAAAAAATTATCAACCCTATGGATGTGTAAATGCTTTTTGCTGTAAATTCAAATTCTGTTTACTTCCAATAAGTATGCCTTCTTAATTAGATCACTAAATTATTGAGTCGTGTTTAATTCTATGTATCTGTGTTGATTGTCGGAAGTGGCATCGACTTTGTGACTTCTAAAGAATTTCAGCCTTCACTATAAGGCGTCATAACTCTTCTACTTGTAGATCCTTGAACTTTAAGGGGGATTCTCAGCGGTCTAGATGATGCTCCAAATGGAGTTACTGAGTTTGGATTACTCTAATACTATGAACTGCTCTCGCTTAAGGATCATCCTCATTAAATACATTAAGGCTTATTATTCTACCACGAAGATTTTTGTTTTAATGTTAGAGCATCAAGGCGATGTATTTTTTATTACTGTTTCATGTTAGTATCCATCAGTTATAAAACCAAAATTCATAATAAACAGGAAATAAAAAATTTATACATAACTAAATCATTTGTAGTACAAAATTAGGGGAAACGGTAACAAGCCTAAATATCTGTGATTTATGAAGGGAAAAAGTGTTATATCAAAAGTTAGTGAATTCACGAGTCGATCTAATTTAGACTACCATTGGAAATCTAAGCACTGGATCTGTATTACTGAGGAGTCCCATACTAGAACGAAACGGGCGTCTAGTGCTTCCAGGTTTTCGATGGTGGTCTAGCTTTTACTGTATTTTTGATCTTTTGCAAAAATCTATGAGGCGCTGTCTTATTTCTGATTGCTTCACTTCAGATCATCGGTATATTATGGTTTTGACACACTCAGAGTTATCGTTTCTAGTAAGATTTTGATATTGTTGTCGAAATTCGCATAATCTTATGATCACCTTAGCAAGGACAAGTGAGTACTTGGTCAGAATTACACATTTACTGTGGTTGGTTTTAAACTCTACCATCAGATAGAATTTTAAACGGCTGACTTTTATAACTTCAATCAAAAATCCTACACTCTCCCAATGTTCCATGTATATTTGCTTTTTTTTTCTACAATCTCATCTTACCCAATCATTTATCTTCAGACACAAAATAGTTTTCGGACTTTTGATCAGTTTGATTTGAACGTTGACTACAGCTGGGGATAAACTCCACGTTTTCAAGTCATCTAATTGTATCGTAGCCAGTAATTACAATTATGTTTCTGTCCATTTAGTCATTAAATTGCAGATATCTTGGAATAACTTCTATTATAGAATTATTTGGAGTTATGACTTTTGCTGTGTTGCAATTTATCTTCCATCATGCCTGGTTGCGCTACACTTGACATGTCCATAGCATGAAGGAGTGGTGAATATAGATATTTTGTTGTTGTTTGATTAATACAGACCTCATTATTTTCTAGACTCTTGTGAAGAATATTTTTCACTAGATGGATAGATAACATGTATTTTTGACCATGAAATTATTCACTTGACTTTTCTCTCGGTTATCCTTTCTTTAATTTCAGGATTCTCGTGGACCGTTAGTTCCACTTGACTGGATTCTACAGAGATGCAGTGAGTTAGCTTCATCAAGATCCCAAATTGGTTTGGCTGATAGTTCCAGTAAATAAATGAATGAAACTTGATCGATATAGAATTCTAGACATCTTTAAATTATATTATGATAATATTTTTATTGAGATTCATGTATTATTGACAGATCTTGTATTAATTTGACTTTCTATGATGTTATCTCTTGTACATAGATGTTTAAAGTTTAAAAAAATACACATTCCGTATAATCTTTCTTGTTTATATAAGTTTTCTTTGTCTGTAACCTATATAGAACTCAAGTAATTTATTAGTCATCTATATGATATGAAAGTCTTACAATAGTCGAAGGTTTTATGATGGAATTTGTGTAGTGGTGAAACGTTAAAGATTTAGTTTACTGGCATAACGAATCATATTATCGATAAGAAAAATGTCATCATTACCTAGTTATTTCATAAAACTGTTGCAAACATTGTTAATTTGATCACTCATGTTTGAAGCGTCTGATGAATTATGCAATTTATGTATTTGGTACTGGTATTTAACTTCCTAGTCAGTAGTAATTTGTATTTGGGTAAAATAATGTGATGCATTGTAGTAACTCTATTTGTGTCTATTTAAAATGGAACAGATCACTTACTGTGGATTGATTTATCTGATCACAATCAGTGTTGATATTATTTTCAAATAATGTAACAAATAATAACCGATTAGTGGAACGTGAGTAAACGTGGAATGATGAATTTTACTATAGAAATTACTGGTAAACGATGATTGATAATAACTGTAAGGGACTTTATATATTGTAATGAATCCAATGATTTATGTAAGCTTTCTCGATTTCGTATTTGGGTGATTTAAGTATTTAACTTACTGAACTAATTTACTGTGTTTAGTAAATAAGTAGATGGGAATACGGATTGGTTATAAGCTGTTCGAAATCTTCAGAAATTATGTCACTTTTAGCTTATTATAGTCTTCATCAATTTATAGGATAGGTAATTTATCAGTATAGAGTTGTGTAGATCGTTGATATTCCGTTGAAGTCACGAAGCATTTTAAATTAGACATGGATTGGAAATCTGGAGAGACTGGATGGCCGTTTCGTCCTTGTATGGGACTGTTCGGCACTGCACACCTGTGACAATGAGAGTGTGGATTGAACTCGAGTCCTTCGATCCCACTCACAAACAGTCAACCTCTAGAACACTGTACTGGAATCTGGCAGTGTATAAGTCTTGTTCTAGTCACCTCATAGTTTTTCGCGGTCAATTTTCATTGTCTTTGGAGGGTACCATCCTCACACTTGATACGGTTTAGCTGTTTTGATTGTTTCTAAAAGTGTGAATTATGAATGCCTGTATCAGTTCAGACGAACATTGGGATTTTGTTGAATTCTTTCCGATGATGTATTACTATTAACACCTGTTTAATTTACTGGATTATTACAATTAATCCTTTAAAAACGATTGGGAGATTGTACTTTAGATATTTTTTATCGGTTATTCTTCTTGAAGCTTATATAAGTACAGTAATACATTTCAGAGTAATGATAATCCTTAATGGCTCACATGTCAAATATACATCTGAAATAATTAACGTTAGAACGTTTATTAATTTTTGGTATTTAGATATTTCGTTAGTTACCTAACTAAACAGTTGGTGATTAGAATCAATTTGAATACTAAATAACTTAATATTTGAAAATGAAAGTGATTAGATGAGGTGTTATTTTGTTTGAAAATATTATCCTGATGTTGGCTTTAAAGCAATGTGATTGAGTGTTTATGGAGACAAGTTTCATCCAATAAGTACACACATATTTTGATTGGCCGCGAGTATACAGACTAGAATCTGATTGATATGATCATCCAATCAAATATTTTAGTGCTACATAAAATAATTATTGTATTCTATAAATTAAAGAGTAACACGTTTGAAGTAATATATATATATATATATATATATATTCCTAATATTTGAATATATCAGTTATCATTAAAAATGTGCACAATGCAGCCGATTCTGAATAGTTATTTGAATGAACTAGATGAAGATATCTTCCATCATTTCGGATTCACAACAAAGTCATTTGATTTCAAACAAAAGTTTGGTGATGTCAAGGTAGTTTTCATTGTTAATTAAGTCATTTTGTTACATAGTCAACAAGAATTAATTTCTCTTCAGTATTGTATACGTAATTATGTTTATTGAATTTGATATAGTTAACTATTGAGGAATTTGGAAATGAATTGCTAAGTAAAATTAAGTTGATTATAGTTTCCATAGAAATATAAAATCATTTCCTGATTTCAGTGAAATATATTAAGCATCTTAATTGTTCACATGCAAACAAGTGATTGTATGTCTTTTCAAAGATTAATATCTATACAATGGTCAATAGTTTCTTAGGTTCATTTTGATAGTATTTATTCAAGTATTATTTTTACATGTGCAGTAAATCCTCTATAAACTTATCTATTGATATATTCATTCATTGAATGAATGTGACGCATATAAATTTGTAAGTGATTTATTGTTCCGGTTTTACACATATCTCTTTCATAGACTAAAACGGTATACTATAGAATGGAAAAGAATTTTGTATATATACTACTTGGATTATTTCATGAACATTAAGAATCTTCAATTTTTATTACTACTATCACTAAAAACGAGTTATTTGTATGTACCACCATCGTGTAAAATAAATAGTTGAATGCCATCAGATTCTTTCATGTAGTTATCTACATTGTTTCACTGTTTATATTTACATTGAACTAGTTGGAAATGATTTGGTGTAGAGAATATATTCTGTTTAGAAATAAAATAAACTGACTAAAGTTAAATAATGTCGAGTCACCTAGACTGGTGACCACATTGCAACTTGATCGATAGCATTCGATCTAAACTAAATAAGGACTTGACACGCATGACATTGATCTCCACCCAGTGATCAATCAATTGTGATTACATCATGGCCCGGGTAGCTCTGTGGTAACGTCTCTGACTGTGAAGCTGGGTGACACGGGATCGAATTCGTCAGGGAACACCGGTTCCTTCAAGATTACAGGTACACTTTGCTGGCGAGTACCGAGTAGCCCGAAACCCGGATCCAGGATTTCCTGTTGACTACCTCCAACCACCATCTAATCTCAATGTTTAATGATTCAATGAGAATATTCTCATTTATGCATATTGTCATCATGAAGTCAAATTATAATTTGCAATTTACCTTAAATAATCTTTTGTCTTTTCTTTTTTAAATAGTTCGTCTGTGTATGTGGTAGCAGTAATAGAATTCATAATTTTGCTATATCAATGGCTAAGTTAGCTGGTATACAGTTACCTGTAGAAAATATTGCCGGTTCTCATGCTAGATTTGTACTTTACAAAGTAGATCATATATTATTTGCAGATGTAAGTTAATAATGAAGTTTTGATTAGGATAATTTATTTGCAAAAATTGTCCTTAAAAACATTGTTTTGTTGTTGTTGTTAGCCGATACTCGTTGTGATGTACTTTTCAATGAATATAAACTACAAATCAAATAAATTTGGTGAATAAATCATGTTGTGGTAGTTAAAAAAAACGAAATTTTATCATTTAAATAATTGACTGACTTTGTTGGAACAATCATCAAGACCTACGATGAACTGAACGATTGTTTCACCGAAGTATGTAACTCGTAATGAGTACAGGTACACAAGGCTTTCAGAAGTTGAACCTAGGACCCGGAGAGTTCTCAGTGAGTGTTTAATCTCTAGGCCACTTCGTTAAGTCGTGGTCTTTGGTTATAACAGTTAAAACGAATCAATATAATTACTCAACGAATTAAGGCTGACCAAAATATTGTGTTCATTATTTATCTAGTAGTTGGGTTTATGAAGACGAATAGAAAGTGAATATTACCAAATAAAGAATATTTGAGTAAACAGTTGTTCTCAATATGTTCATCACCAAGCTCTACAGTTATCAGTCTATAATTATTGCAATAGTTTGTAAACATTCACCATTTTTAACCCATAACATTGTCGAACTGATTAACGTATAGTTAATTTTGGCCTTCTTAAATTATCATAATAATTATGGACATAGGACGTTTCGTCCTATTGTGGGACTCCTCAGCAGTGCGCATACACGATCTCGCCTCACCGTCCAGTGCTTCCAGGTTTTCCATGGTGATCTAGCTTCAATAAACTCATGATCTCAACAAGTGAAATTACTAAAATCTCCACAAAACCCCCTTCTGATAATAATCAATTAAATTACTTTGACTAATTTGTTACTTAGAAATAAATTGTTTACTGAAAATTTCATCAGTGTGACTTTTGTTGTTGTTGTTGGTAACAGAACAACATCAACATTATGTTTTAATGACTTCATGGTTATCTTCATTATTTTATTTCTTACATATAGCATGGAATTGGTATACCATCAACATTAATTCTAATGCATGAAATGACAAAATTATTACATTATGCTGGTTGTAAAGATGTGTTATTTATACGTCTAGGAACATGTGGTGGTTTAGGTAAAACAACTATTTTAATCTTATAAAATTTATCATTTCTATAGAAGTAATGATATATAGGGATAATTTTCCGTATAAAATTTCGCGTGAAACACTCTCTGTCTCTTTTACGATTCAAGTTGTGTCGGATTTGTAATGTATGTTTATCTGTACCATAATTCGCTTAAATATTTCATTCAGTGATGAATTGAATGACTATTGCTCCCTTTAATTGTTTGGGGAATATTCATTCAATCAACACTTAATGTAAATGGTTTACAATAGCGAATAAGATTAAAATATTTGAAAATATCAATTCTTATACAAAACTGCTATACAAGAACTACTATAGTTCGAAAGAAGTCAATAACACCAAGTGATGGAAGTCTCAAGATGATTCTTGTTTAGATTTTATATATGTATATTGTATAGCGTATTCAGTGTCTCGATGATAAGGCAATCAAATGTTATTTCATCAAAATTCATAAGTAGGATTTCATAACCAATTAGAATCTGTCGATAAATCATTGAAAAATTGGAAACAAATTTAATCAATAAAACAATTTTTTACTGATTGCATTCAAATCACTAACTAGTCTCAGTGAAACAATTATTGAATGCCAAAAAGCTTTAAATATACATTTTGTAGTAGTATGGGACTTCTCGACAGTGCACATCCCCGACCTCACAGTCGAAAAATTGGATCCAGGGTCTTCAGTCTTATGTGCGAATGCTTAAACTTTAGACCACTGATTCTTGACCCGATGATTTACAAGTCAAACTTCAGTCGATTCACGACCATCTTCCGTCCGTTCAATGTTTCCATCTTTGTGGTGGTTGTCCAACTTTTTCAGTCAGTCAGTCAGTTACAACTTAGGACCAGGGACGACGTTGTTGCTACCTTGACGTGGTGGTCGGGCTTGCCTATCGTGATGAAACAGTCGAGCTATACTGGCTAAAACAATTGTTCCTCAAGGTCCTACCATGCCAGACAGTCGGTTGAAGAACGGTAAGACTAAAAGTAACAAACCCAATGTTCGAAGGCGAAGTCGTACTGCTGACTATACAAAGGTTTGACGGCAGTTAGGTGTTCCTTCAAACAACCAGCATGATAGTGATGCCGCCTTCTTTCAAGGAGGGGTGGGGTTAGAAAAGGTCGGCCCTAAAAATGCACACCTCGCCTTATCCCACGGATATCCGTCTCTGGTGGTAGGGTCTCAACAAGTACGGAGCTAACATGAAAGTTAATCACAGAAAGGTCGTGTGTGACCGACCTCAAGCAGTTGTCCCTTGGACACTGCGGTCGTGCTTTCAGGTCACTAAGACCACCTCTAATCCGATTTCATTTTCAGGCACCTCCAGAGGAACCCTTCCACGGTGTGGGCAACCAGGAAGTGATAACCGCCCTCATACCTCTAACAGCACTCAAGACCACTATCCAACTTTGATAGGTTCGTGATTCAAATAAAAATCAACACCTTCAAAACCTCATGCTTATACTTCCAAATTTTTTTATTCATTTGCAAAGTAACTTAGTTGTTTTGTGAAAATATAATCATAATGGTCCGTTTTATTATTTCATTCAAATTAGGAGTGAAGCCCGGTACACTTGTGATGTCCGATCGTTGCGTAAATACCAAATTAGAGCCATATAACGAATTGGTATGGAGTAATTTGAATATCATGAATTGTAAAATCTTTGAATTATTCTGGATTGTTGACGTAATTTGTGTTATTGGTTTCACTGAAAAAAAATTATTAAGTAAGCATAGGTGGCTTAGATATGGTAAACAATAGTGCACCCCAAGACATAGTTTATCGATTGACTGTCAGTCAACGACAACACCTCAGTTAATTAACATTTTATTTACTAAATATTCGTTTTTTATAAATTGAAAAGTTACTTTAAGTACAAGTATGTAGCTTAGATAGATAAACATTAATGAAACTTAGTATAATGAATCATGAATTGTTGATTGAAGATGAAGGAAAAATGAGCTTCATTTTCATCTTGGAAGTATTTGAAACTGAAATCTTTCATTTCGATAAAGTGATAAAAAGTCTGGAGTTGATCTTTGACAGACTACTCGAATCTTCTGTATATGTACAATCAGTGAATAACTGAATGGTGTTTAAGAGTCTGCTTAGTCACTTGAATAAGTAATTAATAGACTAGTTCGGTATATCTATCTATTGATTATCCAAAATATATATTGATTCGGTAGGAACTTTGTTTACTGGGGAAGAGAAATATGAGCTTTTAAAGTCCTGGGAAGTTTTAAAAAGTCTATGGAGTTGAAGATTAACTCAGCTCAACAGGTATGGGCTTCATATTATTCTACTTTTCCTAAGTGTTCTCACTTTGTTCGGTTAAAATGATTCAGTTTTACACCGTAATATTTTGGGATTTTATCGAATGTCCAGAAATGTTTCCATTATTGAATGTTGTATATGAAGAGTAATGTGTTGCTAACCTTTATCTTCATCGCCTCATTCAGAAAGATATTGTCATATGTCATATCTTGACAGTGATGTTATTTCTGAAATGATATCGTCTTAAATGCTTAATATTCTAACAGTTCTTTTGTCTAGTAGCATTATTTGAATGACTAAATTGAATTTCAGTGTATTCTTGGTAAACCTGTCCGTCGACAAACTAAAGTGGACTTAAACGCTGTAAATGAATTAAAAAAGCTTTCTGAGAATCTTTCATTACAATGTTCAGTTGTTGTTGGGGGTACAATCACTGCAAATGACTTTTATGAAGGTAAGACTAATGATGTACAGCATGTAATTCATTTTTAAATGTTGAATTATTTAAAACAATGGTATGAGTACTACTACTAATGTGTTAGCTACTGAAATCTACAGAAACTCTATTGTAAGAACAATTGTATTGAACATTGTCATATTTTTTCATATCGATTTGCTATACAACTGATGAATGAATTTTGAAAAAAGCGTTGAATGTAGCTAGTGATCTGAAACGCTACTATCGATAATGAAGCATTTATAAATAACATATTCTAGAACTTAACAGCTGTGACTGTGATACCACTGGAAATATTCTTTACAGTATTAATACTTTATTAGCTGGAGACTTCCATAGACCCTCTTGGTTGGAACATAACTTAAGGTCACTGATTATGACGTTCACAATTGTTTTCTTAAGGTCTCAGTGGCAAACGTCGATCAATGGTGTTTCGCGTCGTATTTTATTAATAAATTAGTTTATTTTTAGTTGTGTAGGCTGTGTGTTATTCTCTAGAGTGATTGGACTTCAATTCACTGTACACTGATAACAACATTATCTTCTCAGTACAGTGAATCAAAATGTTAGGTAGGTTAAGCGTTCGTGCGCGAGATTGAAGGCCCAGGGTTCGAATCCCGCGAGCGGGATCGTGGATGCGCACTGCTGAGGAGTACCACAATAGGGCGAAACGGCCGTCCAGTGCTTCCAGTTTTCCAATGGTGGTCTAACATCAATCGGTTCATGATCTCAATCAAAAACTTAACAATCTCCACAACCACTATACTGATACATAAAAATGGATCGACCTTTTCATGTTAGCTAGATGCACAAATTTCAACAAGTCACGTCATTAGTAATATATGAGGTTGTTTTAAGTATGTAAATCATTTTCAGAAAAAGTATTTAAATATAACCAATTTTTACTTTGATTATTTGCTAGTTATGCATAGAACTTACGTTATTTCCTTATGGTATAATGATAAAATTTGAATATAAACGTTTGAGCAATTGTTCACTGAGTATCTGACTTAAGTTTTCTTTATATTTTATCCAATTTTTCGATTTCAGTTTAGAAATAGTTATATGTTTGTTTAATTTTATAGAGCAAGGAAGATTGGATGGAGCGATTTGTTCTTTTAGCCAAGAAGAGAAATTGGCTTATCTTAAGTCGGCTTATGATCATGGCATAAGAAATTTGGAAATGGAGGGTACTGCAATTACATCTCATTGCAATTCAACTGGTCATCGAGGTGATACATTCAAATGCCTAAATAATTTATGTTTTCTTCTGATATTGTGTATTCCGATGAGTTTTTTTAAAATTACAAATACTAAAAGAGGGAAAGTTGGGAGCTAGCTGACTTAGGTTGATGAATGTTGATAATTGTTTGGCATGGGGAATTTTAAATTATGCCGAGAATCATCTGTGACAGTGCACAGAATTTATGAGTTTGTAACACAATTCGGTCAAGTCTTTTGAGTGGTATAAGAAATTTGGTTTGTAAAATGTTCTAAACACTAAGATTTTAAAGGATGTTTTGATATTGTCTGCAACTATAGGTTTACTACATAATAAGCTTGCAAATAATGTTGAAATATCTAGATGGTAGGAACAGGTAGCCCAAATGTTCAAGTAAGCCGCCAAGTTGTTGTTTTATATATGATGAAATGAAATTTACAATTTTGTCCTTGCAAATTCATATCGTCAACTAAGTCGATTAGATTGAGAATTGATACTGTTGCCTGAATTTCGGTTGCAGTCTATTAATTTAATAAAATATACTGTTCTCAGACTAGAAAAAGATGAATTTGTTAATTTCATTTTATTTTAGGAATATATCGAATCATTACAGTAAACTAAAGTGATATACGGAAATTGATTATATAGTAATGTATTACTTTGGATTAGTTATTATAGACTGATGAATATTATACTGTATGAAGTATCCTTACTCTCTAAACAATGAGTGGGAATATCAATTCCAGCTATAGTGAAAAACTGTGGTTAGTAGAATTGAATCTTGTCAAGATAAAAGAGAGAGTTAATTATCACAGATAGGGTAGAGTAATTGACATACAACATCACAAATGAATGAATTTAGAAATGGATGCCATTGTAAAACCACTCAATCTTCTAAACCTATTTGCTCTCAACAAGAACTATATATTTTAGTTTTTATTGTGAGTCTTTAAATAACTTAAAGAATCTTTTTAACGATTTACAGTTTATCATCAGAGAGGGGTTTTGTGGTAATTATAGTAATTTAGTAGTTGAATTCATAAGTCAATTGAAGCTAGACCACCATGGAAAACCTGGAAGCACTGGACGACCAACTCGTGCTAGTATGGGACTCCTCAGCAGTGTGCACCCATGATCGCGTCTCGCGAGATTCGAACCTAGGACCTATCAGTCTCACGCACGAACACTTAACCTTTAGACCACTGAGCCGGCATCTGGTTATAATCACCATATGCTCACTAGTGATGGACTTTAAAAGGTATTTCCTGGAGCTCCAGTGAGAAACCGTGACCAGTGGAGTTCAGCTAGTTCTGTTATGAGTTAGTAACTCACTGATGACAATGGTAGACTATGGCGCAAATTCGCGGATTGGTTGAAGTTACACATCAACATTACTGGATGCTGGCCAGCTCGGTAGTTTAGGGTTTAAGTGCTCTTATGCGAAACTGACAGATCCTGGGTTCGACGTCGAATCTCGCGAGGAGCGATCGTGGATGAGCAATGCTGAGGAGTCCCACACTAACACGAGTTGGTCGTCCAGTGCTTCCACGTTTTCCATGGTGGTCTAGCTTCAACTGATTCATGAATTCAACTACTAAATTTGCAATTCAAATGAATGTCTAACTGATATCAATCTATGCTAAAAGGAAAATTGACTTTTAATACTGATTTACTTAATTAATGGTGGTAATGGAAACCACTGTGTCGAGTTAACTTCATACAGACAAATAGTATGTATATATTTATCAGTGTATAAATTTTGATTTACAAATCATTGTCTTTGTGTTACTAATCAGTTTTGTGTGATGGTTCATTTTTTTGCTTTAGCTATTCTAGTTTGTGTAGCAGTTGTAAATCGTCTTGAAAATGATCAAGTTACAATATCTGCGGATGATTTTAAATTATTTGAACAGTTACCTGGTAAATTGGTTGGAGAATATTTGAAAAGAAACAGTGGGCTAATTGCTCGTTAATGCATGAAACATAATTGTTAACTAATGTGATCAATTTTGATAACTGTGAATGAACAACTGAACGACTTTTAATTAAGGATTTTTATGTAAACTTTACTATTTGATTAGCTTACTACATTGTAATAGGCTTTTTAATTGTTGTAGTGGTTATTTTTAACATTTTGAAATATTCTAGGTAATTTTAGCTACTTGATTCCTTTTGTTGTTAAAACTACTTTAGATTGTCTTTTTATTGTTAAACTAAGAAATGTAAATGTATGAATCTTCATGAATTCTAAGGCTTTATTTATGTTCTAAAGACGGTGTTATGTTATTGGATCACCAGACCAAAACATGGTACAAGTCTATGAAGTCACTGACAAGTGGACTGAGTCATGTTGGTAGGTGCACGCTACCTGGTTGGGGACCGCGAGATGATAGCAACCGATGGTTAGAGACCCTGAGTGACATGGCTCAAAATCGTTTTCAATGGCGCAGGTGCATCTAATCATTTTGTTCTCCCAAATTCTAATCTCCTGAATCCTCCTTGTCTCTTTTTTCTCTTTCCAAACTTATTTCACTGAATTATACTCTTTAAATAACATCTACAAGCCCTAATGTTTCCGACTACTGCTTATATTCGTACCGCCTCTACCACTACGGGATTTGAATCGACAACTGCATCTCTGTGCCAATGTGGTGTGGCAACTCGAACTGATGTACGTACGTACGAAGTTCTACGTTGTTACTGACTAACTGACTGCTATTGGATCGCCGAATCGGCTTCGAAAAATCATTCTTCCTATACACCAATTCCAACCTCATATGTAAGTAAGATGACTAAAAGTGACTAGGAAGCTGTGATTATCGAGCTGAGTGGATAAGTATACAACTCAATTGTGTGTGTACACAGCCTGATTTAACCAGTAGAGTGTTTCGTTTAACATGTCAAACCCACCACTTGGTTTCTCATTGACATGTGCGCACAGGTTCAGGATTTCTGGATACCTACAACCTATCGAAAACTGATTAAGTGACAGAAACTCAATAAGTTGAATAATAAATTATGCTGGAAATATTAACTGATCACCATGTGTGAAATCATTGTCTTATTGTCAATCAAGGTGATTTATAATAAATGAACTGGTCCAAATACATGACAGGTTATAGGTCTAATTAAATTTGATATTGGTAATGGTACATCCAAGTATCATCCCACTATGAACTAGTCTCCGATATATATATGATTGGTTTATTATTATTCAAAATACCATTGGGAACCTTTTCCAAACTCATGAACACATTTACCTTTTATAACAGATTAGTATACGAATCTAGCATACTTAAACTGTTTAGTTAATAGAAACGTTTTATCTACGAAATCCGACAAATTCAAATTTGTAATATGGACTTCAAATCTCTATATTGTTTGAGTGTTGGACTTCTTTCTGATCTCAATCTATTTAGAAGAGCTATATGGCTAATTGCGTCACCAGAAAATGAATAAAAGGAACACACAAATGTAATAACTGTTCTTACAGTTCTCTGTGCATGAAATATCGGAATAAATACCGTTGGTTGGCATTGTATTTTTACTTCCCAATCATGTTACAATATATTTGCGAAGAATCAAATAACAACAAAGAGTGAGAACATTGTTTTGGAGTTCAAGGTTAAATGATAAATCAGTAATTACGATAACATGGCATTGATCAGGATACGGCTTAATTATCCAAAGAACGCATATCCATATTTTCAATCAGGTTTGTGGACATATTTTGATTGAGTTTAGGTAGTACAGTTTCTTACTCACTGTTGAGCTTTCCACTCAACTAACAGGTCTTGGTGACTTATAGGACTCGTGTATATCAGTATCAGAAATAATAATCGGCCTTTCACAACAAAACTGTTCGAAATTTCAAGTGTGAAGTACAGTTGTGTTATGATTGGTAAAATCAGTACGGGTTATCGATATGAAGTATGATATATAGTTACCAGTTAGACAACCATCAAACGATAAATAAGTTCATGTAAACTTAATAAGTTACGAGGATAATAATAACCACTAATTTACAGGAACAAGAAATTAGAGGAGCGGTTTAAGACTCCAGTAAAATAAAAAAATACAAAATAACTTAATTTTCAATAGTTGAATTACTGGAGCCTGTTCAATGCGTAACCATCCTGTTCTACCTCTGAGCTCATTACTGAATGATTTTGCACGATAATTATTGTGGAGCAGAGTGGTTAATACTGAAGAAGTGTTCCAAACTGAAGGTGTGACTGATTGTAGAACAGCGTACTGTTGAAAAATACTTTTAGAAAGCATTCGTCTCAATGAGAACTGTTCCACATCCGGAAGTATACATGTGTCTGCACACTTGTTGTTTGAAAAGTGGCAGTTTATTCCTAACATATGTATTAAAATCAGAAACCGGTTGGAACGTTCAGTGAGAAGCTTAGCAGAATAAATTGGTTTTCTACAATGTTTCGGAGATCTATTCTTCAGTATTTCTGTAACCGTATCTCTTCTGAATTCCGCGCACGTGAAAACGTCTTCCTTCTGGCTGTCGCAGGTGTTTAAAGTGTTTTTTTTAGACTGCCAATTTATGTTAGTAAACTTGGGAGAGAAGAATTTTTGATGTGAATTGACAGATGTTTTCCTAGTTCTTTGTCAATTGTGTCGTGAACGTAAATTTACCTGCAGCTTTTGAATAAAGAAAGAATTAATTTTCTGATCTCATTCAATGGAATCCAAATGTGAAAACTAAGTCCTAATTTTTCTGTTGTGCTTCCTGAATTTTAAATTATTTTTATTGTTGATGCAATGGGTGTCTTTCGTTGTTTTGAGATTAAGAAAGACTTCTTAACATCGAGAGTTTTCGATGAATTTCTGTGATTATCCATTAGTGCTGAAATGGTGATTTCTTAAATCACATACGAAGAGTAGCAAATAAAAACATGTATACCCAGTATCATCCTGCAAGACAGTTCATTGAAATAATATTCACCTGAGTAGCTGACCCCTGAAATATCTTACACTTAATTATACCTTCACCAGCATCAAAAATCGTATAATTGGTTGTGAAAAAGGCATGGATTACATGACCTAGTAGAGAATGAACGTGAAGATTTGAGAAATAACTAGATATAATTGAAAACAAAGCCCTAGAAAGAAGTGAATGTTAAATCAGTGACAATTTCAAAGACAACAGAAGTTTAGATCTCCTTCACAGAAATACCAATGATCCATGTGTTTCACTGCACCCGACTTCCAGTATTTGCCAACGTTTATAACGAAATGTTGGCCACGGACACGTCAACATGTAAGGGGAATATAATAAAGCTTTAAATTAACACAGAGAGAGTGGTTTTCCAATTTGCTCATCCTTTATCTTTCAGAGAATCATTCTCCTATTTACAGGTAATATCATTTACAGAAACAAGGATTATTTTAATCTATGCCAAGATTTTATCATCTACTAACCCACTTTATTAGATAAGACTTTCGAGGTGACTGAAGTAGATATTTACTTACTTACGCCTGTTACTCCTAATGGAGCACAGGCCGCCTGAAGTCCCTCCGGAGACTACTGCCGGTCCAAAAGAGTAGGGTTGGGCATGGGGTTAGCAACCCCATCCCGTAGAAGTCACGAGGCCGATGCTCCTTCTGACAACCAGAGCAACCATTTATTTAGGTACTAAAGTAGAATTCTACACTCAAAAACTTAACTTTATATGGTCAAATTAGATGTAAATGTAGATGCTTCTCAAACAGAGTTTTTGAGTTTGGAAAATTAGTCTTCAACTGTCACAATTTATTTAATAAAACATGAATTTTACGTAATTTTTCACTAAATTAGACATTATTTGAGTGTTGGAGGTTGATGAGAACTTTTAAATTGGAGGTAATTCTTTGTAGATTCAGTCAGTCAGTCAGCTACAACGTAGGACCAGGAACATATATGCATCGGTCCAAGTTGCCATACCTCATTAACACAACAAGATGAACACCGGATTCATATAAGTGGTTAATTCAGAGGTGGTAGTATATAAAAGAAAGATTTCAATAAGGACATAGTACAAGAAGAAAGAATTAGTTGATAGAAAGAAATATATGAAGCGATTTTAATCTCTTAGTTTAAGGGAAGACAGAGAGTATATACACCTACGCCGTTGTGATCGATTCTGAGCGATGTCACCAAGAGTCTCCAACCATTGATTACGATAGTCACGCGAACACCAACCAAGTAGTCTGCATCTACCAACATGGCTCAGACTAGAAGTTAGTGACTTCAAGCACTGATGCACGTTTTGATTTTCCTGCTCCTTAGTTTCTTTCAACCATCCCCAACACCCGTTAGCATTGCACTTCGTGGTATTATTTTCAAGACACTCAAATTAGAATAAGATAAATTCGGTGGTAAATGTCGAAGTATGATTGTTTAATGTTTTTCGTATTGTATTTGAGGATCTTGCTTTTTCATTTGCATATGTTGAGGCCTACTGCTGTAATAATCAGGGACTTAAACAAATGTCATTCACTTGTAATATTTAACTTTAAGCTCATTATCATTATTCATGTTTGTGAGAGATTACACCTCTACAAACAGCTTCTCATAACACTCATATCAAGTATGTGTTTTTTTCTATCTAACAGAATAAATAATTTTTAAAACACAAAGTTTTTATATTTTCAAAAGGGTTTTCGTAGATATTATAAATGAGATCATGAGTCAATTGAAATTAGACCATCAAGGAAAACCTGGAAGCACTGGACGGTTGTTTCGTCCCATATTTGAAAAAAAATATTTTATCCAATATTGAAAGTAAATGGACAACATAATTCAATAGAATTTCATTTCATAATGAAACATTTCTGATTACTATTTCTATGATCATATGATATAGAATGTTTCACAATGAATGCCCTATTGTTTCTTCTCATTGCATGTTATATGTAAGATCAAGTCCTATTGTTTTATGATATCAGATTTTGTATTCTTTTTTATCTTAGAAAT